TCATGTCCAATACACTACGTTGACCTTAACAAACTGGACCAATACTAACGTGGGGTGTTGTGAGTGTGTTGTGAGTGTGTTGGGGAGTGGACGAGGAGTGCTGAACGGAGAATGGAATAACAAAAGTTTTCTGTAATGTTTTAATGTGATCATGGAATAATTATTTTTTGTCAACAGCATACGGTGTAAGTACTAGAGATTCAAAGATGACAAGCTTTATTGAACAGGTGTAAAAGTGAGAGTACTCTGGGATGAGTACTCTGAGGAAAGTACTCTGAGAAAGTACTCTGAGATGAATACCTTGCTGAAGGTACTGGGAGCCCCTCCCTCTGCTGTTTGTCCGGACAGTGATTCGGTCCAACCGCAGTGAGCGGTCATTGGGCGGAGGACAACTTTGGTTTGTAATTCACATTTAGGGGAGTATAAAATTAGAAACATACATATTGTTAAGTCTGTATTTGGCTACAGCCTCTGCCCTGATGCCACACACCGTCTGTCAATGCAGTTATGTTTTGCCCAATTGGATTGATTGACAGGCCGCACCATGCGAAGAGAGGAAAGTGGGCGTTTCTTGTGTTCTAATGTTTGTTTTTCAGATGAAAGATAAACTGCACCTGCTTCAGGGATAACACAGTAGTATGGATCATAAGGAAAATGAGCCTCTACTTTGGCACCAAAGCCCACAATATGAATTGAGGACGATCCGGGAGGAACAACTGAAGATGATTGGAACAGTAATCTACACACACACAGATGCATGTTTTATACTTTGGACCACGACCAACAGAGGGAGTATAGTAATGTTATTGTCATAGGTGGTCATGGTCCTTAACCTTCTAAATCATTAGAAAGAAGTGTAAAACATATATTTACAAGAACAAATAAATAATAGAAAGGGCAGCCTAAAAAAGCAAAATGGGAAAATTATTAAGTAATTTTCGGAGTTGCCAAAATGAAATAAAATTCTATATTTGTCCCATAGGGGGTCATTCTAAATTTAGTGTTGTGCAAATTTAAAAGGAGAAATAATAGCGCTTATAACATCAAACAGATCTACTCTTTAAGATAATAGATCATACAATAATAGAATAGAATGAAATAGTCTGGAGCTATAATGTCATTGGATTCGAGGAGCTATAGGTTGAAAGGTCGCTAGGAAGAGGTGTCAGAATAAACAATAGTAATAATAGTTAGACTAGTGAATAATCAAAATAGTTCTATTGTGGAAATAAGTATCAATAAGGTCAAATTGTTCTAATAACTAAAGTAAAAAGGAATCAAATGGAGTCAGATTTTAGATGTTTCTGTTTTCCACATCTGTAGGAACTGGTGCAGAGGTGTTTATAGAGAGTAGTATTAAAATGCAGACATAGAACGACAGGCTTTAACACAATTTTAAATCTAAAAATAGCTCAAATATAACATTGCTCTTGATGCAGCCTCTGAGCTGCTCCATTGGAGAACAGGTTAAATGTTATTGTTTATTACAAACAGCTGATGTATTTACACATATTAAGTTTGGGACAACTCTTTAAACAGTTATAAGCAGCGGACAGAAGAAGCCATGAATGTGCTTTTGTTTATTAAATAATTAATTTCATAGCCATATAATCGTAGAGAACGGTTTTAAAATAGTTCTCTTCCTCCCGCTCCCTTTCAGGCAAATTGAATAGATTCATGTTTTTAATATTGGAGAACGACTGTGTTGTTTTTGGAATTGTCTGAAATACAATACATAGAATAGTGATTTGCAGAACAAGAACCAGCCAATGAAAAATCGTCTATTGCCAATGCAATTGTTACAATCAGAACTCACAAATTGGGAATATGCTTTGGCTCAAACTACAACCAAGATTTGGAGTCACAATAGAGTGTAAAATAGATAGATGCTTTCAAAAATAGAGATTATTTTTAGACAGGGCCAATATCAAACGGTAAAAAGACCATTTCCTTCATATTATGTCCAAAAGTAGTTACTTCAAAAGTAGATAATGTTCATGAGTGTAGCCTAGATTAATGTAGCTTAGATTAATGAGATAGATTAGAACCAACAGAGATTCAAAAACATTTAAAAGCATTTTGGTTAATTTGAATATAGCACAAAAGTAGATATTTAGGTATTTTTGAGAATTTTAAGAGCTGTCGATTTGTCAGCAACAGATTAGAGAATCAAAATACCGTTGTATAGGGACTGACCCCAGAGAAACCTGCTAAAATAGATTAGCTCCTGTAACGATAATACCAATTTGATTAATGATGAAGAATCAGAATGACACAGCGGTGGTCATCAAAGAGTTTTGTGAAGGAATGTTTCGAATGTGGTTGTGTGTTGTATTCTTTCTGTATTAACTCTTCACAGATATCAAGCCGGAACTAAGCACAAGTATTGATGATAAACGACGATGTGGATTGTGACCTAATTTTTTAATCAGGTCAAAAGAGGGAAACTGTTGTATATTTTAACTATGCAGATGTGAATATTGGCTGACCCTGATTTGAACTGTCTTTTCCTAAAGCAAAAAGACCTGGTTTCCCCATGTTCCTTTGTTAGTCCAAAGTGCATGGGTGAGTTAATGATAGGTAATCTGGGGGGGGATTCTGCTAATCCTGAAGGAGGGGGACCCAGAGAGCCTTCTGCCTTATCTCAAAGAAGTAATACATTTGGGGAGTGGTAGTGTGTGTGAATGATTCTGTTTAAGGTACGGCAGACAGAGGGGACATGATGGAAGAGGCCGGACCCAAGTCCTGCCTGATACGACACGCCCCCTGCTTCCTGAACATGGACTGATAATGCTCTGGCTTGAGAGGACACAGGAGAATGAGCCGAGGGCGAGCCAGGGACATGCATAGTTTTAGGAGCCCTCTTTGTTGGAATTTCTGTATCTGATTGTAAAGATAATTAAATACAGATGTTAAAACTTGGAGATCTGTTGTCATGCCTCTGCATCAACTCGAACACGTCAGTCAAGGGAATTATTGACTTCACTACCCCACTCTATTTAAAATGAGTTCCTGGTGCTCTTCTCATATTTGCTTGATGATGGTGTAGCGTACCAAACGGGAGAGGGATGAGAGACACAGATGAGAGGCAAATTTTAGTTGGAGACTCCCAAAAAGTGAGGTCCCCATTTATTTATAGAGGACCAAAACCCGCGAAACATAGGTTGTCATGTCTTCAAGTTTAAAGACATAATTCATTCATTTAAAAGTTTTTTTAATAATACAACACGTTCTTAAATGCTAAAGCAATAAGTTAAATTTGTTAAAATATAAGGGGAAAACAAAAGTGAGACTTCCTCTCTAGAAAACATCAGTTTCCTGTCCGCGCAGAGTAAGCGCTTTTGTTTTTCTGTAACAATCTTTGTTCCCTTGGTAAATGGTACTGGGCGGCATGGTGGCTGAGTGGATAGCACTCTCGCCTCTCAGCAAGAAAGTCCTGGGTTCGAATCCCGGTTGGACCAAGGCCTTGGTCCAACCGGCCTGAGTGGAGTTTGCATGTTCTCCCCGTGTCTGCGTAGGTTTCCTCCGGGTGCTCCGGTTTCCCCTACCACTAAAAATATGTACAATAGGTCTGGCATGTGCCTCCTATACTGGCACCCCTGCTCCCAAAAATAACAATTGTAAACCGTTTTGAGACTCCGATGTGCAGTGAAAAGGCGGTATATAAATAAAGATTACTTACTTACTACTTACAAGCACGTAATTAATAGTTACCTAATGTAACTTAAGTTCTACGAATAGGTGCGTAGTCCCTTAGGACTTCGCTAGTGGATATCACTCGTGACCCCCAGGTCACACGCCAGAGAGATCAAAATAATTTGCTCCAATCACCAGCCACCCTTCTCTATAAAGGCCCCTGCACAAGGCCGCACCCCCTCTTGAACTCTGCCAAGCCGGGCTGGCCTGATGGGCTCGTAGCTAAGGGACTACGCACCTATTCGTAGAACTATTAATTCTACGTCATAGTGCTACGTCCCTTAGGACTTCGCTAGTGGGACACAACGCGGAGGCCGTAGGAACATGTACTCCCAGCAGGCCAGCGAAGGGTGATTGGAGCTCCGCCCGAGCAAGACCCTCGCAAGTGAGAGGACTCAGGGCAGAAGAAGCAAATGCGTGTTACAGGGCCACTCCTCCCAAGGATACCCCCACGTAACACAGACCGTAGGTCACCCGTAATCCCAGGACGCCTCTCCCAAGAGCTCCTGACGTGGACTACCTGATTGACCAAAGCACACATATAAGTACCGCACCTGTAGGACGCCCCTCCCAAGAGCTCCTGAACCAGGGCGGAAAGTCAACCGAAGGCCCCCTCAGAGGAGGTACCTAACGGTCTCAACTCAGTCCGCTGCACTCAGCACGGAATGGGCCACCGACCGGTCCGACACATCCAAAAGATAAGACCGGACGAAAGAAGAGGACGACGCCCAAGAAGCCGCACGGCAGACGTCCTCGACCGACACCCCCCCCCTGAGAAGGGCCGTAGAGGCCGCCATCCCACGCGTGGAATGCGACCTGAAGCCCACCGGGGGGGCCAGACCCTGCGCCTGATACGCCCGCCGCACAGCCGTGGCGACCCAGTGCGCCAGCCGCTGAGCCGACAGCGGGGCGCCCCTGTTCTTGGGGCCCAGACACACAACAACTGATCACCCAACCTGAATGACGACGTCATGGCCAGGTAATGCCTAAGCATTCTGACAAGACACAGAAGGTGCCGCCGCTCCTCCTCGGGGGAGGCATGCGGTGGCGGATAGAAAGCCCTAATCCTGCTGACTCTCGACCTAAAGGCCGACGTGAGGACCATGGGGAGAAAGGCCGGATTGGGCCACAATTCCACCATGCCGTCGCCCTCTCCAAAGGACAGGCAAGACACATGGACGGAGAGCGCACACAAGTCGCCCGCCCTCTTAGCAGACGCCAACGCCAGCAAGAGGGCCGTCTTAAAAGCGACACACTCGGGACTCGCCTCCGCCGCCGGTTCAAAAGGCGGACCCGACAGCCCCCTAAGGACCACCCTGAGGTCCCAACCGGGGGCGTTCTCTGAAGCGGGGTCCTCCTCCTGCGCGCCGCCCGCAGAAAACGTTTAACCAACGGATGAGAGCGGGCTGTGAGCCCCCCGAAACCGTCGTGACCCGAGGTAATGGCTGCCGCGAACACCGCCAAGGTGGCGACAGCCCTCCCTTTGTCAAAAAGCTCCTGTAGGAATCCCAGGACCCCCTCCAGCGGGCAACGCCTGGGATCCCAGGAGCAAGAACCGCACCAGTCGCTGAAGAGCCTCCACCTCGTGGCGTAGGCCCTCACAGTGGACGGCGCCCTCGCCCCCTGAATGGTCTCCAACACCGCCGGGGGAAGACCCAGGTCTACAAGGTTCCGCCTCTCAGCCTCCGAACCCAGAGCCTGCGGCCGATTATCGGGCGTGAAAACAGGGCTCCCCCCCCCCCCTGGACTAGAGCCCCCGGCTCCTCCGGGAGGGCCCAGGGCTCCATCACCGCCATGCCCCTCAGGAAGGGGAACCACCGGGCATGCGGACTGTCCGGAGCCACCAGGATCACCGACCTCCTCTCCTGTTCGATCCTCCGCAGCAGGACCGGCAGGAGACGCACTGGTGGGAAGGCATACAGCAGGCCCTCTGGTCAGGGGTAATGAGCCAGAGCATCCACGCCTAAGGGCGGCTCGTCCGCGGCCTTTAAGGCGAACCAGGACAGGCACTGTGCGTTCTCTGCACTAGCGAAAAGGTCGACCACTGGACGGCCGAACCTCCGCCAGAACTCCGCAGCTACCCGTGGGGCCAGGCCCCACTCGTCCTGGAGTGGGCCCCCCCTGGACATCCTGTCGGCCCCCACGTTCCGGACCCCCGGGACGTGGCGCGCCCTCAGAGACAGAAGGTGAAGCGCCGCCCACAGCAGCGTCACCGTCGCCATGCGATGGAGGGCGGGGGACCTGGTGCCCCCCTGCCTGTTCAGATAAGAGACCACTGTGGTGTTGTCTGAGCGCACCATCACGTGTCTCCCCTGCAGCTGAGGAGCAAAGTGCAGCAGTACCCTGTGTACTGCCTCCATCTCCAGCAGGTTGATGTGGCGGGCTGAGTCCGACCAGCAGCCTCCTATAGAGCTCTGGCCGAGGACCCCGCCCCAACCCTCGAGTGACGCGTCCGTGAACACCTCCACGTGAGACATGGCGCAGGCCAGAGTCACTCCGTCCCGCAATAGACCCGGAGTGAGCCAAAACCTTATGTCCGATGCTGCCTCTTGGGGAACCCAGATAAGCCTCCCCCCGTCCCGGGAGGGGTGAAGCCTGAGGCGTGAGAACCACCTCTGAAATTCCTCATGTGGAGAAAGGCCTAGCCGCACCACAGCATGAGCCGCCGCCATCATCCCCAGCAAGGACCTGAGGCGCCGAGCAGGGACCCTGGGGCCCGCTAGAACCTCCCTGGCCAGACGGGTAATGTTCCTCCGTCTGCCCACGGACAATGCAGCACGGAATGTCACAGAGTCTAGCTGCAGGCCAAGATAGATCATGCGCTGAGCCGGCTGCAGCCTGCTTTTCTCCCTGTTCACCATAAAGCCCAGGCGCTGTATGTGGGACAGGACCCAGTGCGTGTGACTCACGGCCACTTCCCTGGATGAGGCCAGTATTAACCAATCGTCTATGTAGGTTAATATTCTTACCCCTGCGCGTCTGAGCGGCTCCAGTGCCGCCTCCACGCACTTGGAGAGGTCCGAGGCGCGAGTGCGTAGCCGAAGGGGAGACGGCAGTACTCGTAATTCCTCTCTCCCACTGCGAAGCGCAGGAACCTCTGTGTTCCGGAACTATCGGCACGTGGAAGTAAGCGTCTGTCAGGTCTATGGAGGACATCCAATCTCCCTGCCTGACACACTCGAGGAGCTGTTTTGTGGACAGCATCCGAAACTGCCGTTTGGAAATGCACTCGTTCAGAACGCGCAAATCCAAAATGGGACGTACCCCGCCTGACTTCTTTGGCACCAAGAAGTAAGGGGAGTACAGCCCCCTGGTGGCGTCCTGTGGGTCTACCTCCACTGCTGAGCCTCGACTCAGCAGAGAGGAGACCTCCGCTTGTAGTGCCTCTAATGATCCCCGTACCTGAGAGCGTGCTGCCCCTACGCCTCGGAATGGTGGCCGCTTTCGGGAGAAAGCTGCTCCCTCCAGATGCTGTAGAAGTCTGTGAGGGGCGGAACGGGAGCTGGAACACGAGACGTCACGGCCCCGCCCTCTCCTGGTGTTCCTAGCAGGGAAGGGGGGTGGACGAAAGGGCCGGGGGGCCCCCTGCGTCATACCGTGTGCGCCGGCGGCGGTCACGTGTCCTGCAGGCCCGACGTCATAAGTACGGGTCTGCTCATACCACGTGACTCGGCTGCTGCGCCCCCCCCTGGCTCTTGCCTCATGGAGGGGAGGGGGGGGGGGGGGGGGGGGGGCGAGCCCCTGGAGTGGGAGACCCTGGAGTGGGAGACCCTGGAGTGGGAGACCCCGTGTTAGCCTTGTAGCTCAGAGAGGCTAACGCACGTTCGGCCGAAGCACACACATCACTACTCATCAGATCCCACCGCCTGACCTCTCTCTGGGAGGGCATAGTATGGATCAGAGAACCGGAGCTCGTAGCTCGCGTAGCACACTGCACACCCTGCTCTGGGGGCTGCAGGCCTAGCGAAGCAACGTTATGTGCCCGGGAAGTAACACAATCAGAATTCACATTAGACATGTTACATACCCACAAATGAGACTCAGACAACGAGTAATGATGAAATGCCGGTCGGCCTTTATTGAAGGAAAACTTTCCACCCCGACCTCCTCTGCCATAGGGAGGTCGGCGGTGGGTGCTTTGCTCCCGCGAGCCACCCGTGGGTCTGTCTGGACCGGGGGGACCCGAACGCTCTCTGCCTCTGTCCCGGCTCCGTGATGGTTGGTGGGCCTAGCGCCTCGGTGCTAGGTGCGGGGCTAGCCTAGCCGAGTCGTTGGCTGCAGACTCCAGTCTCACCACCAGGGCCTGCATGTCCGGGCCGAAGAGGGACGTCTGAGAGATGGGCAGGTCCAGCAGCTGCCTCTTCTCCGCCTCCCTGATCTTAGCCAGCCCAAGCCAAAGGTGCCTGGCCCCGACTTGGGCTGCAGCCATGGAGCGGCTAGCGTCTGGCACATGCGCAGAATCGCCGCCGAGGTGGTCCTCGCCTGTGACAGGAGGTCTCCACTGAGCGCCTGGCCAGAGGAGAGCGACCTATCCAGGGCCCCCGTGATGAATGCCATGTTGTTAGCCAATGCGAGGACCTGTGCCGCATTGGCGTAACATCTATCCAGCATCGCCAAGACATCCTGTCCCGCTCGGAGGGAAGGAGAGGTCTGGTGCCGGGCCACACGGATGCGGAGGGCTGCAGGGCCATGCGGACTGAATCCTCGATGTCCGGGACACCACCGGTCCAGGACCAGTCCTGCACGCTGCAGTACATGCCGTACCCCAGAGCAGGCCTCTTGGCTGCTAGGGGCTTTGGCCACTCACGTGTCGCGTAATGGACGAACGGGCCACAAAAGTGTTAGCTAAGTGTGAAGTGTTAAGTTTGTGCTATTTCTGATTAGCTAGCGCTGTATGTAATTTTGTGTGTACAGCCGTTGATAGTGACGCACTTTTTTCTGTTGTTTCAGTTACGGTGATTTTGGTGAATTTGGTGATTTTTGTAACTTTGAATTGACCAAACACAAGATTCTCTATAAAACAAGAAAAGCAAGCCTTGTCTACAAAGTTTCTTTCCCGTTCGCTGGCTGTCTAGCTTCACATGTTCACGTATTGTGAGGACAGCACATAGGTCACAAGGAAACACACATGCGCACTAGTATATTACTAAAAAGTCGTTTACATACTTCCCCCCTTTAACAAGACATGTCCTCATGTCTGTAACTGAAAAAAAAAAATACACCACACACACATACAAATTTACTAAACAGCATCAAAATCCCAGCGTCCTCCAAGAACCAAACAACCAATCGACTGGCGGTGCACGAATTCCCCCGACCGGAGCACAGGAAATCAACAGAACGTCCAGAACACGGGACCGTAGGACGCGCTGGGAACATCAGAATTACGGACTCCGAACACACACGTCAGCAGGCACCCCAACAGGCACAACCACAATCCGGTGGCTCCCGAGGGACGGCGCTGGATTTGGGCACCAATGCGCACATGTCACGGTCTGATCCTGGACATCAGCGGCCCGGAGCCACGTGCTCAGTCCAGTACTGGAACGTCTCCCCCGGCGGCAGCACTCCGTCACACCAGTCCTTGACAGTCACCCCAGCCGAGAAGAGCCTCAGAACAGCACAGGCCACACCATCACTCCAGTCCCACATCAACACAAAACTATGGCGAGACCATATTGGCGCCTGGCACCGTCAGGTCAGACTCACCCACCAATAAAAGTACTAAAAGCAAGGCACAAATGTTTGTCACCGCCGCCACCACATATATCAACTCAAGTGGCGACGGCGGCACCGCTGCCACCAATGTAGCGTACCAAACGGGAGAAGGATGAGAGACACAGAAAGAGCCAAATTGTAGTTGGAGACTCCCAAAAAGTGTGGTCCCCATTTATTTATAGAGTACCAAAACCCGCGAAACATAGGTCACAAGGTAACACACATGCGTTATACACTTGTATAATACTAAAAAGTCGTTTACAATGGCGAAACGCCCAAATGTCGCACTCCCAATACATTTTTATGTTGTAAGTAACACAGTGTGTGTGAATCATTCTCCTTAACATGGCTTACAGAAATGTAGGTCAACTTTTGATGGCTTGGGACATACAGCAAAAATGACATTGAACACCAACAATCAAGAAGATAGATAGATATATATACTTTATTGATCCCGAACGAAATTGTGCACTCGTCCCTTGCTCGCAATCATACAAAGATACATACATAGGTTAGAATTAAAAGATGCAAAAGTTAAAAACGAGACAATAAATACATTCAAAACATTAAAAGAGAAGTTAAGGCACTGCAAAACAATTCTCAAGACCCCCCCCTACCTCCCCCCTCCCTGCTCCTCCGTTAAGTGAAGAAGGAGGGCTATAAATAAACAAAAAAGGCCACGCTATTGCTGTGTTCGACTCAACTAATCTAATCAACTTTCCAAACATTTATGTTGGAAGTAAAAGCTGTTTGTGAACAAACTGCATGTCACACTGTCGTGTGCAGTGGCACTGACATGACCTGAGTAAACAAACATTTTTATCTAAGCCAGTGAACTTTTTAGAAATCAGCAGATATCAGTTTGATTGGCTCAGATTTTACCAGGAGGTTGGTTTTTGAAATGAAGCTTCCAGTATTGCATAAATATTAGAGTGTGCATTAAAGGAACACTAGGATTCCCTGGTCAGAACTCACCATGGCAAAAGGCCTCGCGGTAATCGTATTTACCCTTTTGGCATGTGTTGTTGGATTAAAAGCTCAAGGATCCAAGGGATATTTTTCTTCGCAACCTGACAGCAATCCGCCAAGCTTAACATACAAGCCTGAATCTTCACATGGTTTTTCACATTGGGGGTCCCAAGGACAACCTGTAGAACATACCCAGAGTATTCCTGAGGGGACTCAATGGTCTCCAGACAATCTACTAGCTACACCTTTACCGCCAGATTTCGGCAATTATTGGATTCCACCACCAAAACCTGTTTGGTACCCTGCAGTGGAAGATCATATAAATTCACAGTCATATCCTGGCATTACTGAGCAGGGTCACCCGGAGTCCCATGACCCATCTTCACCTGTAAGACACACATGGTCGCGACAGTCCGAGAGCCACTCATCTTCAAGTCAGGGTTCACATTCACATTCTAGCCACCAATCAAACCCACCTGTACTTCGACCAGGGAATCCTTCACCATCTCATACAAGTCATCAGTGGACTAAACCTGAGGCCAAACCTCCTCTGACATGGAGACCATGGCTCAGCTCAGGAACCAATCCTAATGATCATCGACCATCACTGACATGGGGTCAGGGGTCAAGCACCTCAGGAATCAATCCTGTTGATCAACCTTTGCCAACATGGGGTGGGGGTTCAAGCACTTCAGGAACTAATCCTGTTGATCGACCATCGCCAACATGGGGTGGGGGTTCAAGCACTTCAGGAACTAATCCTGTTGATCGACCATTGCCAACGTGGGGTGGGGGTTCAGGCACCTCAGGAACTAATCCTGTTGATCGACCATCGACAACATGGGGTGGGGGTTCAAGCACCTCAGGAACCAAACCTGTTGATCGACCATCGACAACATGGGGTCAGGGGTCAAACTCAGGAACCAAACCTGTTGATCGACCATCGCCAACATGGGGTGGGGGTTCAAGCACTTCAGGAACCAAACTTGTTGATCGACCATTGCCATCATGGGGTGGGGGTTCAAGCACCTCAGGAACTAATCCTGTTGATCGACCATTGCCAACATGGGGTGGGGGTTCAAGCACCTCAGGAACTAATCCTGTTGATCAACCTTCGCCAACATGGGGTGGGGGTTCAAGCACCTCAGGAACTAATCCTGTTGATCGACCTTCACCAACATGGGGTGGGGGTTCAAGCACTTCAGGAACCAAACCTGTTGATCGACCATCGACAACATGGGGTGGGGGTTCAAGCACTTCAGGAACCAAACTTGATCGACCATCGACAACATGGGGTCAGGGGTCAAACTCAGGAACCAAACCTGTTGATCGACCATCGCCATCATGGGGTGGGGGTTCAAGCACCTCAGGAACTAATCCTGTTGATCGACCTTCGCCAACATGGGGTGGGGGTTCAAGCACTTCAGGAACTAATCCTGTTGATCGACCATCGCCAACGTGGGGTGGGGGTTCAAGCATCTCAGGAGCTAATCCTGTTGATCGCCCTTCGCCAACATGGGGTGGGGGTTCAAGCACTTCAGGAACCAAACCTATTGATCGACCATTGCCAACATGGGGTGGGGGTTCAAGCACTTCAGGAACTAATCCTGTTGACGACCATCGCCAACGTGGGGTGGGGGTTCAAGCAGCTCAGGAACTAATCCTGTTGATCGACCTTCGCCAACATGGGGTGGGGGTTCAAGCACTTCAGGAACCAAACCTGTTGATCGACCATCGCCAACATGGGGTCATGGGTCAAGCTCAGGAACCAATCCAGAGACTCCCCTTGTCGGAGGAGTGAGACCATGGTTCAGCGCACTTAAACATCCAGTTGACCACCAAACTTCCCAGTCAGGTAAGCAAGGGGTTAATATGGGCACCAAACCTGCCAAACCCCAACCATCACATCCAGAAAGTCAATGGATGAATTCAGAAAACCAACCTGGAAGTACCCAACCTTCCCAACAAGGCCAAAAGATGCCAGTGGACCCAAATACCATGAATTGTGCTGTTGCTCCGGAGAGGCGTGTCCCTTGTGGAGTTACTGACATTTCTGAATCTGAATGTCAGGCCATCAATTGCTGTTTTGATGGCCAGAGTTGCTACTTCGGGATGGCAGGTGAGGAACTTTGTGTGTGTATTCTATTTGTTTTCCAAATTCTAAAGAACCATATCATGTTGTTGTTGGTAAGCACTTATTATTTGCTGAGACAATCCATCTCACTTCACAAGTGCAGCATATCAAGATTCAGATTTGACAGCATGAGTATTAGTATTGCAGCCTAGCTACAATAAAAGGCCACTCTAAGATAATTAGTTGTTAGATTGATTAATTATTAAAGTTAAAACCCTGAAAAATCGTTGTTGCCGGTGTAGCATGTACAGCAAATGCGGATGTAGCGGTGGCTCCTGCTCCGGATTATTATGTACTGCCACCTGCCAGTGTGGCTGGTATTTAGTGACCAAGCCAGCAGGAGTTCAGGAGGATAAAATGGCAACCCAAATGAGAGACTCATATGACGTTTATTCTTTCTAACTGAATATGGTTCCTTTAATTGAACATGCAGAACATTAATTTGCCTGTTGTATTTTTCAGTGACCGTTCAGTGCACAAAAGATGGTCAGTTCATTGTTGTTGTATGTAAAGATGCTACTAGTCCGTCAATGGACTTGTCATCGCTCATGCTTTTGTCTGGACCAAGCTGCACCTACGCCGATTCCAACTCTCACTTTGCCATCTATCAGTTTCCTGTGACTGGATGTGGATCTATGGTTAAGGTGGGAACCCTTCTGTTCAATTCAGCCCCACAAAATCAATATTATTTGTGTAATCTATTATTTAGGAAGATGCTGATGCCATAATATATGAAAACAGACTATCCAGTATGTTTGAAGTTGGTGTGGGTCCTTATGGTTCCATCACCAGGGACAGCCAGTTTGAGTAAGTATGGGCTACTCTGACTTTATGAACATCTGATAGCTTCTTGATTCTACTTGCTACTGTATTCCTTGCTTTCAGGTTACTCTTTCAGTGCAAGTACACTGCCACCGGTGTTGGAACTGTCGAAGCAGAAGTCATATCCTTGGACAACCCCATACGTCCGGTGGCTGCGTTGGGACCAGTAAATGTACAACTCAGGCTTGCAAATGGTAACTGCCGGACAAAGGGTTGCAATGAGGGTAAGATATCCTCCGTGGTAAGTTATAATATTTGCACACACATATATATAGCTCAGTCAAATGTTTATCTTTCAGGGGACCAAGCCTACACTTCTTTCTACACTGAATTCCCAGTATCCAAAGTCCTCAAAGATTCAGTGTATGTAGAGGTTCAGTTGATGGGTATGACAGATCCGTCTCTCGTGCTGAGGCTTGATCGATGTTGGATAACAGCTTCTCCAAACCCTCACACTCTTCCTCAGTGGGACATCTTGAGAAATGGGTAAAGACTAAAGGTATTTTTAGTACAACATGAGACTGTGTCAAATTAACAATGGTTATTCTTGTTCAAGGTGTCCAAACGGAGATGATCGCTACACATCTGCTCTAGTTCCCATCACAGCCTTTTCTTCTTTGGATTACCCCACGCACTACAGGCGCTTTTCTTTCAAAATGTTCACCTTTGTTGACACCAGCACATATTCTCCTCTTAAACAGGAGGTAAGGAACAAATTAACTATATTTCTTTAGTTTTTTTGTTGAAGACTTAATTTTGAGTTTTTGCCTTTAGAATTCCAATAGTCAGAATGTCATAATTCAAAAACATAACAAGGCAACAATTATAATGCAAAGGAAAAGATTACATCAAATAATGATTATAATCATAATATATAATAGAAATAAATAACAAATAAAAGAAAATTTGATTATTTTTTTTACATACAATAAAATGCATATATGAAAATAGAATAAATAATTTTAAAAAGATGTATTAATAATAATAATATTACTGATAATAAACTAAAGAGGTACAAGGGAAAAAAAACATACATACTATATTTCCACGTATTTTGTTTGCCATAAAACACTGTCATTTCTTTCAGATATACATTCACTGCAGTACGGACGTATGTGAACCCAAACCTGAACACAGCTGTGAACCATACTGCTTCAGAAAAAGTAAATATTATCTATAGAAGACTGAACAAAATATAGATACCACCACTCACACCTGTGTTTTTTTACAGGGAGAAATGTTCGTTCTGTGGGCATGAGAAATGCTGAGCCCAAATCAGTGAGTTCTGTTGGACCTATATCCATCAGCAAAGATGATCAAGACGTACACAAAGTAACCTATTGATTCGGAAAGGTTATTTTTCTCAATACAAGACATTATGCTTAAACACATTTTCATGAATTGGAAAAGGTCACGTTTACTATGTTATTTCTTGCAAGAAATTGTTTAAACTATTTGTTTGAATTGAGCAATAAAAAGGTACACACAGCCATCTGTAAATAATCCAACTTCTAGACAGAAATGTCAACGCGTTCGTTCAGTGACATGACCTTTGTACAGAAACTAAATTCAGACGCTTCCAAATTCAAATGGATGTACTTACACAATAAAAACTGAAGGACAATTAAACATTTTCACTTCTTTATTCATACATCTGAATATATCAGCATTTTTTTTAATTGCAACATTCTACAACACTGTTTTGACAGCTTTAAAACCTAAGCACAGCACAAGGATATTGAAAGTTACATTGTATAAAAATCTTATTAAATGCGCATGACCAAATATTAGCATTATCGAACTGTAAAATGTACTGTAAAGAAATAACATGGGTATCCAAATTGTAACAGATTTTCTTACTTTTTGCCAGAAGAGAGAACACATTGCCTCAATGATGCCGACAGGAATAGCATCACAGTAGAGAAAGTGTCTTTAGCTTTAAGATTATGCAACATTCAGTTTAATGTGTTACTTTATTCAACTGCAAAAATAGCTCACCTCATCAAAATAGTTTTCTCTTTGTGTATATATATCTATATAAATTTGTATAAGAGTGGGGGCATTGGGACAAAAATCACTTAAAAACAAACAAAAACCCAAAGAAGAAATGCAATACAGAACTCCCCAAAAAGAAAAGGTCGGCAGTCAAGATCACTGATTGTCTTGCAGTAACGGTAACAAAACTGTAGAAAAAAAAAATACTAAAAAACATTCAAAACCTACTTGTACTGTTTTGCTGGATTTATAATTTTTAGTAAAACAGACGAGAGTATTATTATGTCTTGCATTGTTTGGCTTTTATCAAAAGGAAAGATGTAAAAGAGGCAAACTGCAAACATACATTTGACACACGCACACAATCTAATAACTAAAGAAAAAAAAAAATAGGAACGTATTCACCCCTCACCAAACCTTCACTGAAATTGTGAGTCCTGTCTTGTTGGTCTTTAGTTTCAAATTGATCCGTTCATCCACATATCGATTGTCAGTCAGACTTGTCCTTCTTTTTGCCTCCTCCTACGATGGGAACTTTGCTGACCATCGCAGAGCCCACGGCGGTCACTCCTCCTGCTACAGCACTCACTCCACCTTTGACCAGGCCGACGCCCATAGCTGGCACCGAAGCCACCGAGGTCACGGCGGTCTTGGTCAGATCAAAACTCTTCCCTCCCACCCAGGCCACGCCCCCCACCGTGGCTCCGACTGCGCCTTTGGTGACGCCGTAGAGCCCTCCTGCCAACCTGCCAAACAGGCCTGGCTGAGGCTGTGGGTGGTCCTTGTTTGGATCTAAAAAAATTAAAAACAAGATAATTATTTTATGCAACATGGACAAAATTGAGACACTTTCTTGATTTCTTGGCTTTTCTGGAAGGACCCTTATTCACCAATAAGCTTGTTTTGGGTTTAAAGCAGACACTATAGATGGAGATTGCTACTCGCCAGTAGGGGTGGGAACCTAAGGGTACCTCACGATACAATACGATACACGATACAAAGCTCACGATAACGATAATATCACGATAACAATATCACGATAACGATTTATCACGATATGACGATTATTGATATATTGGTCAGAAATATACAATATGCCAATTTATGGCATAAATAAAAGAAAAATTACTCTTTATTTCATGATAAATAGAATGGAGATGCGTAATGTAGCCATATATTAACTATTGATACATTTTTTTTTAAAAATGTTAAAAAATAATAATAATAATAATTCAATTTTTTTTTTTTCAAAATCGATATTGATACTTGGCAAATGCATATCGATGATCGAATCGCGGGAGAAAGTAGCGCGATATATCGTCACACCCCTACTCGCCAGCTCAATGATGTTCAAAGGGAAGTGCTCATGGACAAAGTTTTGCTACTACCCGCTCCTGGCTCTTATTGACTTGCATTGAAATGTAGACTCCGCTTTCAGAAATCATTTGTGCCACATTCACCATTTTGGTCTTAAAAACTCTGGTTTAGTGCCATTTCTATATTGTCTTTCTTTCTAAATCCAGATATGAGCCATATAAGGATCAACCAATCAGACGCCTTCACTCGCGGGGGAAACTCCAGCTTGCCTTAGCAACCATCTTTAGCAACTCTGTTACGGCACAAAGCTAATGCCATCTGAACAAATGCCCATATAAGGAAATGGAGCTGGCTAATGTTCAAATTGGTTTCTACTGCATTATGGGTGACACCAGCACTTGGTGTGTTAATTTCTAAAATATGTCTATGTCCAAAACAAGGTAAAGCATTTTTTAGGAAAAGTTGGTCTCTTGCTATCTACTGCAGCTTAAAAGAAATCAAAAGAGCACAGACATCACACATTGGGGAGGTAGCAAAAAGCTGTTTGAACTACAGAAAGAACTAGTTTTGTTCGTCTGCTTTAAATCAGTTTCAAGAGAATATACTCCAAAGAAAAGTTACCTCCAAACCCCCCTGCCTTAGAGTTGAATGTGGTATATATTTTGCCATGACCACTAACCACTCAGGAAACACATCTGCTTGAATTGTGGAGCTCACTTTTCTACTACCGGTACTTTGGTGTCTAAACTAGGGTTATACAAGCATGATATGTGGGTAATCAAAGAAATAGATATAATTGAACTTTAAATTCAACAGAAACTTCTTTGATAAAACAAAAACAAATTGTTGTCGTAAGAATGAGTCGATTAGATTAGGCTGATCATATTTCAACACATTTCTAGACATGGTAGGGTAAATGTCTATGTTGGCTTATGTTACTAAACAAATTGCTTCTAGTTTTAATGCCCTGATCGGTTGACCCCTAATTAAAGCTACAGCAGAACAGAGAGTTATACTAGTTTTGCACTGCATGCTTATCTGGTATGAAACTTTACATACACATCCTATTGATTACCACAAAAAGAACAATAAAATATGTATGCTTGCTTCTTCTGATTGCTATCTAAACAACACCTGGGCTCCAAACTGTCACAGGAGCCGGGGACCTCTTTACCTGTTGGTGCTGGTTCATCTGTGAGGTATGCAGGCACGTCCTCAGGCACCTCCTCTGCCTCACTCATGTCTCTGAAAAAAACAAGGCCATCTTTTATCACTTCATTCAATCAATATCTAAATATGATCCATCTATATGTCCTCTGCTTAGGGAATCCATTACACCACATCTGGATGTAAAAAAAATAGAGCTCACAGTAGCCCTTAAGACTTACAGATGGCTTTGCTTTGGGTGTGCTGCTGATCTCAAAAAACAAGGCAGACCTGTTCAAGGCAGCAAAGAGGATACTATGTAAATGTAGCAGCTTGTCTTCGCTACATGGGCCTAATGCAAACAGACTGAGTTGGCACTGTAGAAGTTAATTATGCAATATATCTTGAGATCATACCCAGAGGAGCCTTTGTAGTCTGTTGATGCAACCCATGAGAGAGAGAAAAAAAACAGCTAGCTTAATAGCATGTTATTATCCAAAAAACGCAGTAAAGCTGGCTAATTATGATTACTTGGTCAAGGGACGGATTCCAACCTGTACCAATCATTAAAGTTACAAAGATGAATCGTAAGGGTCCAAGGGGAAGACAGGTGGTCTGCAAGAGGCTATTTCTGAACTAGCATTCGTGATGCTAGGTGAGGCTAAAACGTAGCTGGATGCACTGGCCCAAGCCTATCATCTTTTCCCTAGATTACACGTTCATGTCAAATAGTTTGATGACCTCTAGGTGATACTTACTAAGAGAAACGTATCATTTGGAGTAGTGAAAAGTGCTAGGCTAGCGCTGCTAAGCTAACGCGGTTTGGAGTCATCGCCATAACCAGCAGCACTTGTACTTTTCTACTCGGGACGAAAAACAGGACACGTCACTCCCAAAACATCAAAGCTGTCTCGAACCATTCACTTTAACAGAAAACGGTGAACGACATCATTGTGTTGTAACCGTAAATCGCCTGCAAAACATGTTAAGATAGTGGCTTTTGTGGCGCTCGTTTGCAGTGGTCAACACATAACTTTTTTTTGGAGTGACTTCGTGTTGTTTGTGCTGAAGTTGTGGTGGGTTTTGGGCTTACCTTATATTTTTCCGCGCTGGGATCGAGTTCAGTTGCACTTTTCTTCAAATTGGCTTAAACTCTGACTGAAAATCCGGGTTTGATTCCCGAGATGAGAAGGTAGCAGCGGATGATGAAGATGACTTTTGTTGTCTGTCGTTTTTTTAGGACAACCTTTAGTCTCCACCCATAAAGCATACACAGGAGCGCTGCACAGTTCTGCCCAAATACACATGCTGGGCCGTTTGATAGAGCTTACTGTAGGTACGTTCACTTGGGCTATCTGAATTATATACGTACTGATTGGGCGTCATAATTAAACTAGAAGGTCGTATGAAGCTGTTTGTATGCAAGGATTTCCAGGATAAATTAGCAAACAGTTTTAATGTGCCGAGTGAATATTATAGTGTGTGTTTAAGGGGGATAGTCATCCCATAGGCCCATAATGGCCCATGTTGAGTATGGAACACACAAGGTAAACTAAGACAAACGAGTGTTCGATGGTAAAAAGGATGGATCTCCAGCATCACAATAACAAAGAAAGTGATGAACCCATAATGCTGAGGTTCAGTGGACCAATATGCACTGGAGGGCGCAATTGTCCCCGTCTTATTTTTCATAACGGCAAAAGAAAAATGCGAAACTGTGTAATTGTATAAATAATTATACTATTATGGCAGTATACCTGATTATACCAGAATATATGAATTCTGGTATGTTTAGTTCATAATTTCGATTAACGCTACATGTCTGGGTTTGACTCGTGCTTTGACAGTTGAGTGTTTCATGTCGGTCATATTTTGAAGTGGGACCAGGCTTTTCCGGTTTCAGTTAAAACACGTGCATAACGATCTGTGTAGTGTGGACATGGCGTCCTCAGGTTTACACCAGGTCCTGGTGGGGTTTAGTGACGGAGAACTCGACACAAAGCGACATCAAACCACTTTTATGACCAACAAAGTAGGCGGACTGCCCGACGTACCGTCGCTGCTGTCTCGACTCTTTCCTCGATGCAGTCGCTGCGGCTCTGCGCTGGTTCACGTTGTCCAGGTTTATTGTCCACTGGAAGGGTCTCCCTACCACCGGACCCTGCATGTGTTCGCCTGTCATGCAGAGGACTGCAGTGGTCGGTCCGAGTGCTGGAGGGTGCTTCGGTCTCAGTGTCTGGAAGCGGACAATGCTCGACTCCCTACGCTGCCTCAGGAGCTGCTCCTGACGGGCACGGACTGGTGTGACTCAGCCGATGACTGGGGAATGGAGGAAGAGCACGGAGGCGAGGAGACCACAGCAAACGCGACGCAACAAGCTCCAAATGAGACTCCAACTGGATTTAAAGGTACTGGATCTTGAAAATGTTTTTATATTCGCGAGTTCCAGACAGCTTCCCGTTCTCCAACCCCATTCCCCAAAATGACGTTGGCTATATTGTTGTATACATTATATTTATCTGAAGCCCATGCTGCCAATTGAACAGCCTAGAAGTTATACTTATTTTTGTACAATCACTATACAAAACATAAGTTGTGTACTAGTTGTTCATGTTTGTACTTACATTGATTGACAAGTAATGTTTTATTTTACATTTTGCTTGTATTTCCAGTAGAAGTCCCAAGTGATGACAAGGATATGAGCAGTCAACTTGAAAAGCTCCAGCTTGGACCGTCTGAGGACATCCCACCGTGCTTTCACCCCTACTTCATCAGCGTTATGGAGGAGACTGATCTCTATGGAGAGGATCAGGACTTGGCTCATGCTCAGAAATTACTCAAGGATTATGAAAAACGAGAGGGCATTTTAGTTGACGGCCTCGACAGTTGTGAAGATGGTGGTGGACAGGAAAAATATGAGAAAACTCAAGTTCAACATGGTGATGCAGTTTTTGCAAGATTTATGAAGAAAATTTCTATTTGTTCTGAACAAATTTTGCGATACAGTCGGAAAGGGACTCCTCTTTTTATCTCAGAGCCACCTGCCAACTTGTCCCAAGTGATCAGGACATGCACTTCGTGTGGAGGCCCCAGGACATTTGAAATGCAGCTTATGCCTGCTTTGGTCAGTCTCCTTCAGGGTGAAGGCTCTGAGATTCAGCTGGAGTTCGGGACAGTTTTGGTGTACACATGCCTCAATAGCTGTTGGACCTCTGACGCAAAGAGGTTTGCGGAGGAGTTTTGTTTTGTTCAAAGCGATCCAGATCAGCAACTGTTTAAATGAATGAAAATAATATGGAGGAATTTGTTTGGTTATATTATCGTAATATGCATACTTCTCACTGACTTATGAGAGATGACATATGACATATGAGATGACATATGACATATGACAACAGCAGTCATATGACATTTATTTGATGACACATCAAATAAATAGCTTTTAAATTGTGGATAAATCTTTTTTTTTTCCTGGATGAGCTTTTTCAAATCAAAACAGCTCACAGTGTTGAGTCTTATTTTAATTCAACCTTTGATACATTTTCTATGATACAGTGTCACACCAAAAACAGGTTGAACAGCAGTAAAAGTATTTCTTCAAAGCAGATGTAAACTGTACAGAAGCTCAAACGAAATCTTGAAATATCAGCTGCAGGTAATATAATCGACCATTTCCAGCGTATCAAAAATAGATTAAAAAGGCCAATAAATAGATATACACTTTTTAAACACAACTTTTAGAAATGATGTGATTTTCAGCCCTTTGGTTATAAGCTTTGTCAATTTCAGTCACTTTGGTAAATTGTTGGTGAGGTATAGTTCCATTCCTGAGACAGAAGATGAGTGGATGCTGGAATCCTGGTGAGTTATTGGGATGGTGGATGGATTTGAGGCACTTTGGGTCACTTGGTGCAAACATGTTGAGGATAGAGGTTTTGCTTCTTTTATTGCGGGGCTCCAGAACAGTAAGGTGTCTTTGGATTTGTGGTGCTCCTTTCAAAAGACAAAGTCAAATTGGGATGTCTCCGGGCCATGACCACTAATGTCCCGGTCAATAATCTCATTCACTGCAAAACAAAGAAAATTCTTTCAAACTCTAAGTCTTTAACCATAGACTGTATAGTAACAGATGGACAATGAAAGTTTACCATTGTTTTGCGCTCCGCTCTCTATGATCCTGGTGTTTCGATTTTTATATTGTATTTGTAAATCTAGATATGGGCCATGTAAAGATGGCTACACTAACAATCTTATAAAGTTTCCGTGTTCTGCTTACAATAGGCTTCCATTTACTCCAAATCTGTTTACATTTTGTCAAAACGTAACAGCCGTTTTATGAGAAGACTGAGTTGGCCCTTACTGCTTTTTATGACACTGATAATGTCAGGAACGGTGGAGGAAAAGTATCTATTTGTGGTGCGGCAAACAGCAGCACATCTAGCATCAGTCTATTCATAGCCCTGTTTGAAACGTGAGACAAGAGAACTAAAGCAACTAACAGTAAAGGCCGACGAGAGTACACTAATTCTGACATGCAACACCGGACTTTTACAGCAGTTTGAGAGCTGGAATAGGCTAAAGTCACACACTTGATTTGAGAACATTTCAAATGTATTTTAGAGGAACAAGTCTAGTCTTTTGGCAGAAGCATTATTTTCTATTTGCATTCCAAATGCGATGTCTCATGCATGTACTTTTTTCATCATTTATATGAAAACATGTCGAACAACTCAGCTTCTGAATAAAGATTTAGTGAGAAAAAAATCCCTCCTTAATTCAAGCATTCAATTTACTGTAATTGTATCTACGTTTTTCCCGAGTTCTTTAAACACTCCGTCCAATGAATGTATATATTATTGTACAGGGAGCAGCAAGGGATTTGGACACAGCTTTAGTTTATGGACCTATTATTTTGACTCCATGAAGTCTTAGTAGCTATAGGACACATGTTTATAGTCAAAATAGACCAGTTTAAGCAGTTGTTTATGTTTTGTTCTATCAGCTTTTGCAACCTTTGTGCTACGCTTGTGTCAAAATGACCCGCCCGCCACAGTGATCATAAGTAGAGAAAGTAACCTGGACTGTTCAGGAAATATCATCAAAATTATTTAGGGAATTTTTATATCATTGTGGTGGGTCATTTTAACCCGAGGATAGCACAAGGGTTGGCTTTATTCAAGTGTGACCTGTATTTAGAGAATTACTTTCTCTTAAAATGTATCTGGTGCGGTCTATTCACATGTGTGCCTCATAGTCCACCACTGTACACTGATTCCTCGAATAAAAAGGGATGTGGAAAACATAAATTATGGTTTGAACATCTACAGTTCAAACCATAATTTTAATAGTGGACTACAGCTCAACTCACCATCGTCCAGCGTGATTTCCTGCAGCCCTAGACATCCCAGATTAGGCTGGTCTTCTGGCTCTTGTTTGATACTAAGTACCGGCCCTGCGTTCAGGAGAGGAGCTTCTTTAGGCGCTTCCACCGAGGTCACGAAGGCTGCCCGGTTCAGAGAGGGGGACGCACTAGGACGAGACGGGACGGAGTAGGCCAGAGGAGACGCCAGCGCTGCTTGAATGGGTATCGAAGGTGGTTGTAGAGGCAGCGACGAGGATTGTGGGTAGTTTAGTGATGCCGGAAGCTGGACGAGTGTTTGAATGGGGTGGTGGAGACGAACAGGGGGGTTTTGTGAAGGGCCACAGAGATTCGCTACATCTCCAACGTTGTAATAAGACAAGGTTTGGGGAGAGTATCCAAGGTCAGTTTGGGAAATGTGGTCCAGCGGTTCCCAGCCTCTTTCCCGTTTGACTGATGAAGAAGGAGCGGTGATGGTGGAGGGAAGCGGGCAGTGAGAGCTGGGTAAAAAAGTGACATTCTGTATCAGGCTCCGCTTTCTCTTTCCGTTTGAGACGTAGAAATGGGCTTGGACTGGACCGGACGGTTTCTTGGTGTAAGGAGGGACTCGAACTACAATGCTCGTCTGAAACAAACAAAAATGTGTTAGTAAAATTATGCAAATATGTTAAAAAGTTAATGCGTTGACTCTGAAAACGTACCCCGGAGCTTTTCTCTGGCATCATTCTTGCCTCCATTTCCCAAACAGATCGTCCATCTAGAATCAGAAAATCACAAATTAGGAATTATCTTTGGCCTTGAAAGGAATGGCTTCAATAATCATTTTGAAGGCTTTTGTCAATACTATGTATTAAAACTAGAGTAGCAACAATCCATGTTCCTTGCTCTCAATACAATTTGGTTTTATCGCAAATTTTCACATGGATGCATTTTTACCATATCTTTAGATCATCAGCTTCCAGCCCAATGTATCAAATAGTGACAGGGATCTTTCTTACAAGTGTGCAAAATGTGTCATGTTATTTTGAATCCAGAACCCGATTGCTAAACATTTGACAAAGGTTTCATACCAGGGCCTTTTTCGAGGAACACCACTTTTGACTGTGTGGAGATGTTTGAGCCTGTGATGACCATCTCGTCTCCTCCGTCTCCGCAGCAGCTGGTCGGACTGAAGCTGTCCACGTGAGGGAGCTCCTGGCCCGAGCGCTGGGCTGCAACACACAAAACACAGTCAGCACAACTGCCCAAAGGGGGGGCATCATGTAGTGTGAGTTTTGAATGCCTTTCTCCTTGGGTTGCACTTGTTTATAGTTAGGCTTCAACATAAGAGCAAAACTAATAAAAGTCACGTCCAAAGTCTCAAAATCAAATGAAACAAATATTGAAGCATTCACCGCAGCCGCACGTTTCCTGCATATGAGCTGCGTTCAGATCAGATTATCACTATCTTTCTGTCACAGTGTCAGGAGCAGTGGCGTGTGTCTTACAGCACTCGATGGGCTCGGAAGCCGTCTGAAGCCACAGAATCTGCCCGTCCGCTTGCGGCACGGCGACTCTGAACACGACTCGAACTCTGGTGTTTTTGCGGCCGATGTCCGTCTCCCCTTTTTTCAACTCTATGTCGGCGTTGCGTAGTTTGAGGATACCGGCACAGTCAATGCTGCGAACAAGGATATTGATATTGTAAACTGCCCAATGGAGACACGCGAACCATGGAAAACATGAGTGAGGTGTAACCAGTTGAGGAAGCACCATCCGAGGAGCCGTCTGCAGCCACAGGGGACGACACAGGACCCAGAGGAGATGAAGCCGAAGCCCCAAACCTCCACCAGGTCCATGAGCCAGACCCCCACAGCCACAGCCGACCACCGCTCCCAGTGCAGAGGAAACACTGGAGATACTAAAACAATACAATAAAAAGTAAAATATTGAAATGATAGAGCACAGGACTAAAGCACACTAAATAACTGAGTATGTCTAAAAGGGAAATAAACAAATAAACAAAAACAGTAAAATGAATGAATAATACAAACAATACATACTAATTAAAAGTGAATTCGTGTCTAGACTAAAATGATACACTGATAGAGTGTGAGCTGTAGCTGCTGGTACCTGGCCATCATGTGGTTCTCTGGGAGCAGGGGGATCTCCAGGACTTTGGTGTTGTTCTGGACCTTCTCGTGGCAGCTGGTGGTGACCGTTTTTCCGGTAACGCGGTGGACCTGGTAAAAGGAGTGAGGCCGAAGGTAGCGGTCGTCTGCGGTGCCAATGAACAGCAGCAGGCTCACGGGCTGATCACCGAATCCACTCAACTGGACAGAAGACACAGGAGAGCCACTATGAAGACTCATACGGATGAACCATGTAACATATGCATTATCATGTCATGTCCTGTCATTGTCTATCCCTTTATTAATCCATTTCTGGGTCTGGGGGGTGGTAAACATGATGGACTGGTGCTATGAGACTTGGGTAAGACATATGTATTATTTCATTTCATTTTCAACCCCTTTGTCCATTTCTGGGTTGGGGGGGTGGCAATGAGAGCTGCCACCCAAGGCTCATAGCACCAGTCCCTCGCTGATCCTCTGCAGGTGGTGAGTCCACAGGACGATGGCTGCTCCGTCAGTTGTGAAACAGCCTTGATCTTACAGCTACATCAATACATATGTATTAATTCAACCTAAAACCCGGTTTCCTCTAGCCCTACTTGGCCCCATTTGGTAGTGTTTCCTAGCCCTGTTTAACTGGTAACAGATATTTTTTTAGTGCCTGATTGGCCCTGGTTCTATTCAGGCCACCTGGTACTAAAGTGTTGTAACTGACAAAAATTGGCCAGCGTGCCCAATTGCTAGGATACGGTACCAGATACTAAACTGCAATAAAAGTATTTAAAGGTAAAGGTGCACTTTATTAATCCCCGTAGGGCAATTCAATCCTCTGCATTTGACCCATCCTGATGTCAGGATCAGTGGTCGCCGTAGTAACAGCGCCTGGGAACCCATCACCAGATGTTGATGCTTGGCTTGGTCAGGACTACCGGAGCTGGAGGATTTAACATAGTAGGGGAAACCGGAGTACCAGGAGGAAACCTACGCAGGCATGGGGAGAAACTCTACTCAGAAAGACCCTGGAAAGTACCTATTAAATCCTTTGACAAAGATCTTCTTGGAAGATTGGATGCATGTCTAGGTATTGTATATTTAGAACAAACACTGCGTGGTGTTACATAAGGACCACTTTTGTTTATTTTGATTCAATTTAAGGATGTAAAGTTATTTCTGGCTTTAATGACAGAAATAGACTCCAAAAGCAAAATGCAGGGCTAATTGTCATTCATTGATACCTACTATTCACAGCCAGGATGGTGTCCTAAGCCAATTTAACCTAGTGGCACCTGAGCTCTCAAGGCAGACTGCCACATGCATGGCTCTAACCATGTGCTTCAGACGGTTGACCATCAGACAAAATACAAGAAACGAGAATGTGTGCTCATTGCTCAGGCTGTGGTTATGGAATCACGTTGATTGGTTTGTACATCCTGTTGTCTGGTGGGCGACTGGTCCTGTGCCTTCGGCCTCACTGCGGTGGTCTGAGCTGGTTTCCTGTGTGAACCCACAGACCTAGTGTCCTTGAGAGGAGGCTGCACCCAGAATAACTGTATTGGTGTCCATTACAGGCTCCAGTGGGGTTACTACAGTCTCACTGCTGTTTACTCACACTGTCACCAAGCATGCCCACTCTCAGACTTTCACAAACTCAAAACATCCATTACAGCCTTGCTTGATATCTCTTTATATCACCAAATTGTTTAAATATTAATCCATTAACTCAGTGACAGCACCAAAGGGCAGGCAACGCTACATCTTACAAAGTAGTATCTATTTTTTCAAACTGCAAAGACACACTTTACCAACATGATTTGTATTGGGCTCAATGCCACACGGAGAACATAAATTGCTCTGAATTATTTATATTCCTTTCAATGAAGTCAGTACACTTTCAATACACGTCCAGTAAATAGTGGGACATTATCTTGGAAATCATGGAGGAAGCATTAAACTTGTGCCACTTTCAATATTCTTTCATTATTATCATGCTTTGGTTTGTTAGATATGGTGCTTATTCAAGCAAATGAAAAAATAAACGATTTGCCAAAAGCATATTCCAGACTGAAGGTATCATCGATCATCGGTTTGAAAAAATTTAAATAAAAAAGTTAAAGTTTATTTAAATAGAATGGTGCTAACCTTAACCAGAGGGTGCCCACCAGAGACAGCCTTTAGAGCTCCTCTGCTTCCCTCGGTCTCGTAGTGTGCGCGGTGGTACGACTTAGGCTGGACCTCTAGGTTTAACTCCAGTCCATTAAACTGGTTTGGAAGAGGCCAGTCCAGAGGAGGAGGAGACGAGGCACTGTGGAGCATAGAGCAACTCATGTCAGAATAACTAATTAAAACACACTTACAGTGCCTTGCGAAAGTATTCGGCCCCCTTGAACCTTTCAACATTACGCCACATTTCAGGCTTAAAACATACAGATATAAAAATTACATTTTTTGTCAAGAATCAACAACAAGTGGGACACAATCGTGAAGTGGAACGGAATTTATTGGATGATTTAAACTTTTTTAACAAATGAAAAACTGAAAAGTGGGGCGTGCAATATTATTCGGCCCCCTTGCGCTAATACTTTGTAGCGCCACCTTTTGCTGCAATTACAGCTGCAAGTCGCTTGGGGTATGTCTCTATAAGTTTTGCACATCGAGAGACTGGAATTCTTGCCGATTCTTCCTTGCAAAACAGCTCGAGCTCAGTGAGGTTGGATGGAGAGCGTTTGTGAACAGCAGTCTTCAGCACTTTCCACAGATTCTCGATTGGATTCAGGTCTGGACTTTGACTTGGCAATTCTAACACCTGGATACGTCTATTTGTGAACCATTCCATTGTAGATTTGGCTTTATGTTTTGGATCATTGTCCTGTTGGAAGATAAATCTCCGTCCCAGTCTCAGGTCTTTTGCAGACTCCAACAGGTTTTCTTCCAGAATGGTCCTGTATTTGGCTCCATCCATCTTCCCATCAATTTTAGCGATCTTCCCTGTCCCTGCTGAAGAAAAGCAGGCCCAAACCATGATTCTGCCACCACCATGTTTGACAGTGGAGATGGTGCGTTCAGGGTAATGAGCTGTGTTGCTTTTACGCCAAACACCTTCTTCCACATGTTTGGTGTGTCTCCCAGGTGGCTTGTGGCAAACTTTAAACAAAACTTTTTATGGATATCTTTGAGAAATGGCTTTCTGCTTGCCACTCTTCCATAAAGGCCAGATTTGTGCAGTGCACAACTGATTGTTGTCCTATGGACAGACTCTCCCACCTCAGCTGTAGTTATCTGCAGTTCATCCAGAGTGATCATGGGCCTCTTGGCTGCATCTCTGATCAGTCTTCTCCTTGTTTGAGATGAAAGTTTGGAGGGACGGCAGGGTCTTGGTAGATTTGCAGTGGTCTGATACTCCTTCCATTTCAATATAATTGCTTGCACAGTGCTCCTTGAGATGCTTAAAGCTTGGGAAATCTTTTTGTATCCAAATCCGGCTTTAAACTTCTCCACAACAGTATCTCGGACCTGCCTGGTGTGTTCCTTTGTCTTTATGGTTCTCTCTGCGCTTTAAACAGAACCCTGAGACTATCAAAGAGCAGGTGCATTTATACGGAGACTTGATTACACACAGGCGCATTCTATTTATCATCATCAGTCATTTAGGACAACATTGGATCATTCAAAGATCCTCACTGAACTTCTGGACTGAGTTTGCTGCACTGAAAGTAAAGGGGCCGAATAATATTGCACGCCCCACTTTTCAGTTTTTATTTGTTAAAAAAGTTTAAATTATCCAAAAAATTTCGTTCCACTTCACGATTGTGTCCCACTTGTTGTTGATTCATGACAAAAAATTAAAAGTTTATATCTTTATGTTTGAAGCCTGAAATGTGGCGAAATGTTGAAAGGTTCAAGGGGGCCGAATACTTTCGCAAGGCACTGTATATATATACATGTACAAACATCTATCCAGTCCCAAACATTTGGCCAAACATAGTGTCGTAACTGAAAAAATGCATTGTAAGAGAGAGTGAGTGTGTGTATGTTACAGTTGCTGATTATCTGAGGACAGACCTGAAGAGTGGCGTGCTTCCTGGATTGGGCTTGTTCCAGCTGTAGTGGGAAGGCACTTGGAGGAAGAGCTCAGCCAGTCCATCCTGGTCGAGTGTCTCTTCCCTGGCTGAATCCTGAAAAGATGTGGTGGTCCTCAGCTCCTCCAGCCCTGGGTCCACAGGGAGGGGAGTCAGCTGCTGCCCTGATGTCCGCCTGGTCTTTGACGGTACGTCCAGCTCTGTGTAACTCGACAGCAAGGCACCCAGAACAGCTCCAGGGCTGCTTACCCAGGTGTCGTCAGTCACACTGCCCCGAGGAGAGGCACCTGGGGTGGGGCTCGGAGAATGATGAGGAGAGGGAGACCGGGCAAGGGGGTCGGAGCTGGCATGACGCCTTTTACCGTATGGCGAGGTCGGCCTGGAAGACGGCCTGAAAAGCAAAGAAACAAATTACACTTTCTATGAAGAGCAGTTGAGTTATAACAATTGAGATTCTCCAATATCGAGACGTTTTCACCCCCCCCCCCCCTCTTGGCCTATTCCATTCAGCAGCAGAATTACCTGGACGTGGGCCGGCGTTGGAGCCAGCTCTCCTCCGTGACACTGGCCCGGGGTGAGTGGCAGGGCGAGCCAAGTGGAGACTGGTGAGGTGACAGCGCCGGACTGAAGGGGTGCTGGTACTTCTGCTGCCAGAGCTCCACCCCGAACCCCCCTCCACCGCATCCGGGTGACCCCAGCGGAGATCCATGGGGTGAGCAAAAGACCAGCCGGGCCGCGTCCTGCAGTTCGCCCTCAGCCTCGTCATAAACATTAGAAAATGACTCGCAGGAGGAGAGATCCGACCTACAGCTGCGGGAGGACAGGCTGCTGCACGGGCTGGGGCAGAGGGCCTGGTCGCGGTAACAAGGATCCATGGGGAGGTAGAGCTGATCCCGAGACCACGAAGCCTCCTGATAGCCCCCCTCAGCACCGCGCACATCCCCGCTTTGGTCTATGTGACTGTTTGGGGCAATGGAGGTGATCTGGATGCTGGGGCAGTCAAAGGCTCTGGGGTTCCCCTGGGCACCATATTGGGACCCTTGAATTTGTGGCTGGCACTGGGGGGCCAGCTGGTAGAGGTTTACATTTTGGCCCTGGAGATCCAGAGTCTGTGTCACAGAAGAATTGGGCCTTACATCCAGACCTGTGACATAAAAGGATATGGAAAGTAGGTAAGGATATTTGAATGGCAAACAGCTCAGGCTTTATTAGTAAAATAAACACAAAAGACTATCTATGGACAGAATACCTGACAGTGCAACACATTGCAACAGTCATTTCTAATAACTTGTAGCTAATAATGGGATGCATTATTATTCTATAACACACTAACTGACCAACCAATAACCACCATCGTATTGTTGACAATTCTTGACCCTATAATCACATTTTATTGGTATCAGAGTACTACTTCCAATCTGGAAGTCTTCCCTTCTGCTACTGGACACCTGAATTTCTCCTATGGGGATCAATAAAGTATCTATCTATCAATATATTCAATGCCTTGTATGTTTGTTCCTATTTTGTTTTTGAGTTGCTTTGTATGAACCTTGCCATCCCCATCACCTTTGGATATCCATGTCTTTTACCCAATTAAATTATATATTGTTGTTAAGACTGAAGCTTGGCAGAAGTGGACAGCTAGTATAACTTCACAGACTGTACGCTGTGCTTCCTATAAGCTCACAGCTCTGCATATAAAGGTGGTGTAATTTGCAATGAGCAAATTCCTGTTTCTACATTTCTTCATATATTCTTCGATATTAAGCTGAAAACCTAAATGTGTTAGTTTTAACTCTGTGCTGCACTTTGGGAACTTGTCTTATAAAATGTGCAATTTCAATAAAGTGGATTGGTTTAGATTTTAGTAATATAAACTAAACATTAAACATCGGTAAACAAATCCAATATTTGATTTTAGCTGTTGATGTAGCGTTGAAGCAAGAGTCATTTCATTATTTGGGGACCAGGATGTGAAGGCAGCTGGGGGCAGGCTGTTGGCACAAACTCTGTCTGAGAGAAACCACAGTCCTAACCGCAAAAATGTCTTTAATGAATTGTCCTTGGAGCTGGTGAAATGAAAGAGCACATCAAACGAGACATGGTGCGCTTGTCGCAGACCATTTCTAGATTTGTATGGTTGGTTCTTTACTCTGTTAACTAAATTTTGTTTTAAAATAACAGAACAAACATAAGCTATACAAGCTAAATGTATGAAAAACTTTTAAAATTATATCAGATTTTAAGATTAATGAGGATATATTTGTTAGAATGTAGTGTTTGAGCTCCACCTCCCCTCATTTTCCCAGAAGATGGAGTCTCTATCGGTCAAGATCTTAATCTAAACAAGTACGTTTTTAGTCACAAATATGATAAAAGATGGAGATTACAGGAGGCACGGCCGGCTTCACCTGTGCTGCAGACGAGACACACCGGCACCTCATCACTCACTCTGCCTCCATCAAAACAGACTATAGCGCATCCAGTTCTTGAGTTTTTTAGATAGTATTTATGTTTTGTGGATTTCTTTATACAAGCTACAGTCTCCTGTCTGAGTCAGCCTGCTCCCTGCCTCTACTGCCTGCATGCTACTGTCGTAAATAAACTTGTTAAACTTCTTGAGTCTCCTGCCTCTGCTTTGGGTATTCTGAAAACCGTCACAATGTTTTTCAATCGGAACAGAACTAAGTTGCGTGTATGATTACTTGATCAACTTCTTTTCCAGCTATCTTCAGAGTGGCAGAAGTAATCTTCAGAGTAAGAGGAAGGAAGTCTGTAATCTCCAAGTCTTTTATCATATTTACGACCAAAACTTAAGTACTTGTTTAGATTGAGATCTTGACTGACAGAGAATCCATCTTCTGGGAACATTAAGTTTGTTTGTATTGCTCTAATAATAAGCACTAGTCTTTCAGATCTTGTGCTGTCCCGTGGGAGAGTCCGTGGGTCACTTGTTTGGCTCCTGATTTACATTTTGAAGTTGGCCTAAATTTAACACAGAGCAGCTTCAGCTCCACAGAGACAGCTGGAAGTGTCACATCACAAACGGACTACAACACACTTCCGCTAGAGGATTTCAAATCAGGAAGTAATTTTGTTGATGTGAACAGATGCAAACACATACAATATTTCATGTTCATTAAAAGTCTATTGCTTCTATTCCGCATGGTTGGTCAACCAGTAATGCATAAGGAAATTCTGTTTGACGTAGCAGTCTAGTCATAGTCAATAAAACAAATAGAAAAAATAAACCATAAACATGAAACTGATTAAATGGCAAATTATGCACCTTCACATTTACAAAATAATAATAAAACAACAATAAGGAGCTAAAAATATATTTAAAAAAACCTACGTCAATAAATGCAATCAATATATGTATAACAAATTACAATACATACAAAAATATTCATTTAAAAGGACAGTAGAGGACAACACAACTGGCTGTGTTAAAAGCCAGATAATAAAACTGGGTCTGTCGAAGAGTTTAAAAACCCCTGTTTATATCACATAAAGGAGGGTGTAAGGACAGTGATGATCTGGGATATTTAGGAACATTTCTGGACATTGGTCATCAGGCTCCCTTGATCTCCTATGGGTCTGTTATTACATTTCCTGTGTTGGAACTGTTTGTCTGATCTGTTGTTAGTGAATCTGCAACTTTTTAAGGTCCCCTGACACGGCTAGTGTTTTGATTAAGGGCTATGCAATAAAAAAATCGAAGACCAGGGAACAAAGAGGTAATTGCCCCAAATGTTCCCTCTTCATAATGAGCTAGTCATAGTAAAATGTAAAGGAAAAAGTTATTTGTTTAATCTTTAGTTCAAACACCAGTCTTGCAGAGGTTCTCTAGTCTGAAGAAAAAACTTTTATTTATGTTATTATTAGGATATAACTTAAAGCATGAAACCCATAGATGCAGCTGCAGCTTTCTTGACTGCTGGACCATATAAACACGTGTTTAGTGGTGGTTTTATTGTGACAGCCACTTCCTGTTTTTGCTCTCTGGTGTGATGCCCATTGACGTAGTTGTAAAAATGCCCCCAAACTCGCCTCCCGCGTCTTAAAACGACCCATACCTGTTGCTTGTCTCCCGTCCTCCTCGAAGATGAGTCTGAAGTCCAGCTCCTCAGCGCAGTTCGCTGTGGACATTGGTTTTTTGTGGACGAAAAAGTCCGTGGAAAGACGCGTCAAAGCGAGCCGTGGTATAGATCTGCCATGGTTAGGTACTCAAAAGCACAACTCCACTCAAACTGTCGACATTTACCGTCTTCAAAGTGTCTGATCCGCGGGCAGGAGTGTGGAACTGGGTTTGGAGGGAGGTTACTGGCTCAAAAATGTTCCATCCCACTGTAAACTGGTTTGTTTTTGCTCTTTGCGCGCACTAGTAGCGTAGTTAACTCCAGTTGATCCTCGTGCTGCGTTCAAGGACTAACTGTAAACAAAAAACTACATTAGCGACGCTCTTGTGTATGTGACTATTTCAGTACACGTACTTTCAATTTTACAGCGTTTTCTAATGTAGTCCAACACTATTATAAACTGCCTGCCGCCTACTCTTTCCCCTCAAAAGTAAATTAATTCGTATCAACGTGAACGAATTCGATACAATCAAGTTTCTACTTTTACTTGTTTTTACTTTCATTAGCAGCTTATGATATACAACGCTCATGTACTTTAATGGAGTTCTAAATATTTATTATGGAATATTTTCCAACTGCCCATACAGAATAATTGTGTACATATCATACAAGTAAAGCCTATGAATGAAAACCGGAAATGTGCAAATTGGTATAATTTTCATAGTTCCCTTGAACACATCAGTACGCACAATTACTTTCGTCACGACGCTCAGTGTATTTCATATGAGGTTCAACTTAGGACTTTAGAGATCAGATCAGAGTTCAGCTGAGTCGGGCTCAGACGCTGCCAGCTAGATTTACAATAGACAAAGGTAACACAGAGAGCGTGACTGTATTGTTGTCACAGCTATTCAAACAACAGCCATCCCAACACAGTCATTTATTCACCTCAATAAACCAACTGAATATTGTAATGAAACATCAAGTACTTTATGTACGGCATTTGAGGGGTGGATAAGGATCATTTCAATAATTCTATAAAAAAAAGTTATAGGTCGGGTTTTTTTTCAATGAAAAACGACAGAACAGAAAGTCTCCAGACCACACTTTTAGTGTAGTAAAAATGGTTATGTCATGCAGCATTTGTTAACTGGTAACAACATAGAAAAGATGCTTTGCTTTCAAGGGGCATAATACTATATAGTTGTATTAGTTTATTAATATATAAATACATAATAATTAATAAACCATTACTGGTTCGTATGATGCAATTGAATCATTATATCATTCTATTGTGTCAGTTTTTATAAATAAAATTCTAAGGGAAATTAGGGGGAAAAAAAGTTTAACATATGACTGAAACAAGCAACAGAAAAGATAATGCGACAGGTTTTGATGATTATTTTGTGGGTCGTATCTAAACAGTTAAGGAACCCCTGGGGGTCAGACGACTGCACACGACAGACTTTGGCCCACCTTTAATGTGACTTAAAATATACAGTCTATGGACTTGACCAATGCTGAGAGGATGAATAAATGATGGCACCTAGTTAAATTGAAATAAGACATTTGGATTCATGTCGTTCATTCTCTTTACTTTACAAGCAACTCAATAACACATGCGTTACTCCAGGCACTTAAATCAATAAAAAAAAAAATCAATTGAATAAAAAAATGAAATTCATCAAAATACATTATTCCTAGAGAAAATAATCTATTTGAAGACATCACTCACAGAGTACCCAAGTACTCCCCAGATAGTTGTACAACTGCTATTAAACAATAATGTTAAAAAAAAAAAATTTAAAGTCACTTTAACACTTTCCCTGCTCTGAATGTGGCCTGCGACTGTCCCCATTTAAGACCAACTCTGTCTTTACTGTTTTTGCTACTTCCTCACTCTCCACTAGATGGCGCTTTTTGATGCCCTCTTGGTCAATCCCGTTTATTCCTTTCGTCTCCCTTTTCCTTTTACAAACCAAACCAGACTCCTCCTCTCCCAGGCGGCCCTCTGGTATCCCCAACACTCTCAGGCACACTACGGCAGCGGCTTGTTCGGCAAACTTCTTTGACTTCTCCCTGAAAAAGAAATCAATCTGTTGGACCATCTTGTCAACACTATGGAGTTGATAGTTATATTTATTTTTAACTGTTTATAAGAACTAAGCATTATATCAATATGTCCCACCATGACACTCAACTACAGCTTACAAATTACAATATAGCTAAACATACAATACCACAGATAGAATCACACAAAGCGGAACTCACCACAAAGAAGGTCTGTATTTCTTGTCTGCTATAGTTACAGTGGACTGGAACGCTCGGTCCTGAGCTCGCTGCACCTGAAAGATGCACAAAGACTTCAATAAACTCATCGTATCATAGAGAATAAAGGAAGAAGTTCTTTACCGTCTCATAAGCGGGTGGTTCCAGTTTCTCTTTGCGGCTCCACTCCAGAAGGAACATCTTTGGTGTTATCTGTGGTGGATACTCTCTTCTGAATACCAGTAAATAAAAACATGAAAATCGTAAATTGTGAGTAAGTTATAAAGTATAGAAATTGTGAGCGTGGGTAACCTTTCTGAGCTTAAGACTGTGAAACTTGCCTCTCAAACTTGACAGCCATGGTGAGCACATCTCCGTCCATTATCGGCTGGTCCTGGAGGCCGTTACTGGTCTGGAGAGCGTCCCGTTTGGCCTGATGCTCCTCTCGCACCTTCTGGAAATACTCCTGAAGCCCATAAGCCACACTGCAACAACAAAGTATGGACAAAAGTATGGCCAGAGATTCACAGTCCCACACAAACTCCTTCAACGCACCTGAACTCGGCGTTTGTCTGAGCTGCCTGGACCAGTTTCCCCAGAGGGCTTTCTACTTTGTCTCGGAGCATCTGACACAGGCAGTACTTAGTGTTGAAGCCATGGTTGTCGTATCTGATAGCCTGCAAAACAAAAATAAAAAGTTTAGTTTGTTTGTGTCCATGTCATACTGTACTTCTAGTGTTTATTTTCTGCAACTGTTTTATTTGATAAGAAAATAGACTTTGTACAGACATTTTATGCAGTTGAAATAAAGTCTCATCTTTTCATTTTGTGCAAGATACGTAACCGAAGCGGCAAAAGAAGCTCTGAAGACATTTAATATGGAACGGTGTGTCTGACTAAAATCTTGGTTTTCATTTTAACTTATCCAAAATCTGATATACTGTGCCTGCCCAAGCCTGGCCATAGCCATCCGTACACTCCGCTCAATCATCATTTCACTGCATGTAGCGTCTGGGTCTGGTCCCTGTGTTAGCGATTACAATCGGTCGTATTTCGACCGGCTACTCAGAGAGCGCGTTGTAGGTCGGTGCCGGTCAAGAGTTTGCACCGAACAGGCAGGTTGTTGTTTGGCAGTGGTGAAGAATGCGATAGTAAAGTAATCCGGTCTGGTTCTATCAAGAAATTGAAGCAGGAGCAAGAGGAATGCTTCGCAAATGTAATCGCTTGTCAAGATTGTGGCGCTACTCCCCACGGGCTCCGTTAGCAGCTAAGGAGATGGCTAGGCTAAATGCTAATGCTAACAACTCACTCGGGCGCATTACTCAGATCCAATCGTTTCAATCTGCAAAAGGAGTTAACCCCTCCCAGCTGTTCACGGAGCTCAATGGAGCAAATCCAGACCTTAGTATGAAATGAAATTTGTACTAAGGTGTGGTACAACCAGGCTATGCCTGCCCCAAACTTGAACCTTTATTTGAATGTGTTTCATAGAATCATAGATGGCACCAATTATATAATATTTTCTTCTGCCAGAGACGAAATACCAAGATTCTAGTCAGACCTGGGCCATGGTGTTTAGCTTAGCTTTTATGTCGGCAATGAATGGAGTTCCAGGATTTTACCGATAAGTACTGATGGGTAAACGTCAACACATCGCTTCTAAAACTTGAGTCAAAATAGGTCCATAAACGCTTGAATACTACTGGGTTTTCTTCCATAAGTGGGACTGAAATCCAGTTAGAGGGACTTCAGTGTTTGTTTACAACAGGGACCTTTCAGCAGCCTGTTAAAATCAAGACCGTGCTCTCCGGTCTCTCTTTTAAGCCTCCTCCGCAGGAAGCCATAAACGCATATATCAACAGCTGATATTTCCAAAGCTTGAAACAATCTCGCAACAATACAGTGGATCTGAATCATATTTGAAGCAAAAGCAGAACGACTACACAACATGCCTGGACTATATCCGGACTCACATATTTGAGGTACTCCTCCATGACCGTCTCCAGGGGCAACAGGCCTTTTGGGCTGAACACTGACGGGTTCCACATGGCGGCCCGGGCCAACATCACAGAGGACGCCCCAGATGCTTTTCTGAACTCCTCTATATCTGCAAAGGTCTTCACCAGGTCCAGAGAGCCACCACTACGACAGACAAATAAATCATACCATTAGAGGAGTGTTAAAATACAGAAATGTTGTGGCTGGCGTGTGCAATGATCAATTTTCTCAGATGACATTTGTCTAAGTCAGAAAAATGCATAAGAACTGAATTACAGGACTTGATCTCAGGACTACTGTATATAAACCGCACATTTGAAATTACAGTTAATTTTGTCTACAGTCCCACAGTAAGTTGTTATGTAATACTAACACAAAAGCTAATACACCAAACAAAGCTGACAGACAACTGGTTTAACTGGTCACAAGATGATTTAATGACAAGATGTTTAACAGCTTAACTGTTAAGCTAACAGTGTCTCTCCCATGTCTCATCATCTTCTAATTTGACAATAAATGTGTGTCCTACAGCAACTATAACTCGGAGTCAAAAATAATAAGTCCCTAAACTCTGTTCTGGCAACAGCCCAACTCTATACCACAATACAAAAATACATACATTGAATATAATGGCTTCAGGGTTCAAAGACATTTAAAAAAGTAGCTGCTTACAGTTCAGCAATTATGGTATATAGGTGTTGCTAAGATTTCATTACAAGTTTCCATTCCTTCAGCAGCTTTTGCATGAGTTTTTGTACAGACATATTCAATTTTGCATCTATTCTCACTGTAAAATCTTGTGTCTATTGAACTTACTTTGCGATGACAGGGATAGAAACAGCCTTAGCTACAGCCTGTATGTAATCGCAGTGGACTGGGTGCCTGGGACGCTCCTCTTTGAATCTGAACAGCAAAGAAATGAAATCAATTGGATGAATCTGAGCGGTTTTCGTATAAGAATTTAAAGAAATTGCCCAAACCACTGTTTTAGAGTTACCTTCCATGGACACCAATAGCTGCTACACCAGTTTTCTCAATACGTTTTACTAAACTGATTGTATCTTCAAGCTGCAAGAAAAACAACTTCAATTAAAATCCAATTCAAAATTTAAATCAAATAAACAAACAAAACCACAAACCGAAGGAAGGATTCGGATTTTACATGTAACCGGTTTGTTTACTCCTCCAACCAATTTCCTGAGAATCTGAAAAGAAGTACATTCGGTGTGGGTATAAAAATAACAAATAGTGAAATATTTTCTTTTTGGAATTACGTCCAGTTTAATCTGTGCTATGCTTGCGTAAAAAAACAGGTAAAAAATAAAATAAAAATCATACTATCTATAAAGGAGAGGAATTGATTTAAAAACTGAATAGCACATTTTCCAAATAGTTCTTACCGATTCAATTTTATCAGGATCCGAGAGAAGAGCGGCTCCCATCCCACCCTGGAGGACAGCCAAGAAACTAAAGACAAGCCAAAACAAACAAACAAATTGCCAGCATTCAAAATTGCTCACCTTAGTAGAGTACTCTTTGGGACATCCCATATTTACATCGATGGCTGCTACGTCTTGTTCTCTACCAATACAGAATTACAACTATGTTCTTATAGTATACTGTACTGCATGAAACCTATGAGTCTACACCTGGCGCCCTCTGTGTACAAAGCCAGAGCTAATCAGACCTCTGACGCTAAGCAAGACAGGGCCTGGTTATAACTGTGATGGGGGACCTCTGGTAACAACAGGTGCCACAGGGGGGCCGCTGCGGCTGTAAAGTGCCAAACTGTTGTTGTATCCTCAGGCTAAACACTTCACCCATATTCGCTTGGAATGGGGCTGGAGTGTGTGTGTGAGTGGGTGAATGATTGGTGATTGAAGGAGCTGTTGGCACGTACTGGTGGCCTCGCATCTATCAATCTACCCCGAGGCAGCGGTGGCTACAGAAGTATCTTATCACTGCCCTGTTGGGAGTGAATAGTTAATGCCATGGTAATGCTCTTGGAGTGTCATAAGTGCTACATAAAACCAATTATTATCATTGTCTATACAGAATAACACAGCCAAAAAATGTGCTATATAAACTAGAAATACAAAATGTATTGTTTTTGTTGGAGAGGGGATATCACATTGACAATATAACATACACAAGCTTTGCCACAGTCAGAGCTCGGTCTGGATCAGACGTTCCCTGCAAGAATAAAAAGGTACGTTTTTATAGTAAAAACCTTATATGTTAAAGCCAAATTACACACAAAAAATCTTACCATTTGGAAGATGATTCTGTCCTTCTCTCGCTCACATGTCCTGAACATAACTCTTTCATCAGGAGCAATAAAATCCACAGTATCCAGCACCTCTGAGGAGGGAAATGTGACATGTATAGTTCAAACATATGTTGGCAGTTGTAAGGATAATACTATGATTGATGTCTGGTTGCCCCTGGCCTCAGTCCTGGATCTACAGCCTCAGTCCTGGATCTACAGCCTCAGTCCTGGATCTATAGCCTAGCCTCAGTCCTAGATCTATAGCCTAGCCTCAGTCCTAGATCTATAGCCTAGCCTCAGTCCTAGATCTATAGCCTAGCCTCAGTCCTAGATCTATAGCCTAGCCTCAGTCCTAGATCTATAGCCTAGCCTCAGTCCTAGATCTATAGCCTCAGTCCTAGATCTATAGCCTAGCCTCAGTGCTAGATCTATAGCCTAGCCTCAGTCCTAGATCTATAGCCTCAATCCTGGATCTACAGCCTCAGTTCTAGATCTATAGCCTAGCCTCAGTCCTATTTCTATAGCCTAGCCTTAGTCCTAGATCTATAGCCTAGCCTTAGTCCTAGATCTATAGCCTAGCCTCAGTCCTAGATCTATAGCCTAGCCTCAGTCCTAGATCTATAGCCTAGCCTTAGTCCTAGATCTATAGCCTAGCCTCAGTCCTAGATCTATAGCCTAGCCTCAGTCCTATTTCTATAGCCTAGCCTTAGTCCTAGATCTATAGCCTAGCCTCAGTCCTAGATCTATAGCCTAGCCTCAGTCCTAGATCTATAGCCTCAGTCCTGGATCTACAGTCTCATTCGATTTGATTTTCTGATATGTTGGCGGCATGTGCGTAACTTTGTGTAATCCTCTGAGACGACTGCTGTGGTGTGATTTAGGGCTAGGCAAAAAAATATTTGATTGAATTAAATTTGAATGTCAAAAGAAAGCAGAAAAACCTCACCATTAACAACTCTCCGACACTGGGCCATCTTTATGTCAATTAGTTCCTGGAAAATACATTGTTTTTTAAAGATCTATGTTAATTACTTGAGCCCTTTCTCTCTGGGCCTCACCTCGCAGTAGACCAGGTCCGCCCCATAGTCCAGAGCCAGAAGCCTCATGGGCAGAGTCCCCACCCGGACCATTGGGGCCAGGGCAATGATGTTAGTGAAACTCAGCTTCCCAGACATGGTGCTTTGAGTTCTTTAAAAGGAAAAAAGGATGTAAATAATGATGTACATTTACACACAGACATCACGAGGTTTCACGTTTGGCTGTAAATTCATTTCATGCATCATCAGTAGAAGGAATGTATAAGATCCAGTCTATATAAGAGTCAGAAAAGTGTTTTATGGATAACATTTGGGAGTGTATATATGTACAAACAATACAAAAAGACGAGTAAAATACAGTAATTAATACAAGTGAAGAGGAAATGTTCAGACAGATGATGTATTTGTGAATTAAAGGTGTTAAACATGTAAACATTAGTCACTATGCTAACTCTTGTAGCATTCTCGTTATTCGCTCTTTGATTTGATCATTAAACCCAAATATACATACTTATATACAGGTTTTACACCACCATCGGCCTCAAACTGAACTTTAATCGAAACTCACCGGCATTTACCTGCTGTTATTAAAAGAGAGCCATGCTGTTGACAGTCGAGACCAGCATCATGTGGAGCCACTTCACGCGTGCGCAGAACCAACATCCGCTCGCGACTTTTCAAACTAAAGTTCCTGAGAATAATATTTTTTTTTTACATTTGAATATTTCAATCAAAGCCTCTTATAGACAAAGAATTAAATACCAAAATAACATGCCAACGAATTTTCAATTTATTTCAAGTTGTTTTCATATGCGCTCTTTGTCACAGTAAAATCCTTGATGTTTCAAAGACAAGGGGAAATGCAATAGATGTGCAAAGTCACTTCAGACACATGCATATAGTGGGTGTGTCATTACATAGAATAGAATGTTATATTTATATGAGGAGGTCAGTGAACAAACTAAAAGTAATTCATGTAAATAGGCAACAATATGATCATTATAAGCAACAGTGTGCGTAGTTATACAACCGTATCGACATGAGGTGAAGATGACAGCGGCTCAAGTAAATGGCACAAAGATACAGTTTAAGATCAGATTGTTCTTTGTGAGCACAAAATGAGCTAAAACCATTTTCAGATAGAGATGAACATCAAGTTATATTTCACAAGGCACTCAATATATTAAAATATAAAGTAGTACATTAATTATTTTAGTATGACACATTGCACAAGAGTTTGTGCAATAGATATCTTCATTGAAGAACTACATTCTGCAAAAAAACAAACAATTGTGCAAATTTCCTGGTATTTTCTGTGCATACTGGTCAGCAAAAAGAACTAGTGTATTCTTATGTCTAGTTTTACATACTTATCCATTCTAAGTAATAATGCTTCTTTTAATGTACACATTTACATTCTGCGTGTCCGCCACTGGTTTGGGACATAGGCCTTTCAGAAAATACACAAAATACCAAAACGCACAGTAAACCAAAATTCAGAGAAAAATGCCACATCTTCATCAGGTTCCACAGAAACATGTATTCTGTAGTCTATTCACAGTGTGTGGAGATAAGGTGAAGTTCAAGTGGCCTGTACTTAAAACAGGCAAATGCAGTCAAGTCTGAGAGGCTCTTATAGCACAGAGGTCACAGTGGTTCCACAAGTCTTTATAAATGGAACGAGAAGCTGCTTCGTGCTGAGGACCTTCTTCTGTCGGGAGGAGGGGTCTCGATAGGGTCCAGGTAGGGAAACACCACAAAACACAACCTCTGGCCCAAATGAGTGGCCTTTTCTGAATCAAACACAAAAACACATAAAGCAGGGTCAGTAGTGGTGGAACATGGAAGAAAATGTGCAGTACATGGCTAAAATCTGCTCAATAAAAGCTAAATTACAGTAAGAGCTTTGTTTACATTGTTTTTTTAGCCAACGAATGCAATCCTATTTAGAGATAGGTAAGGAGCTCAGAGTAGGGCAGCTATTTGAGGAGCCAAATGAAGGAAGTGTGTGTGCAATTGGAAAATTTCTGCTCATACTACAGCCTTAGCAACCCGGCCACAGATCAATTGGAAGAAAATGGACGGATGGAGGAAATAGTCTTAAGTGGTAATAATTATAGGACTCAATAACACGTACGCAAAGTGAGACACTGAAATTTCCCCACTCTGGGTCGAACAAAGGTTCTCTTATTTTAGCATATAGATTTCAAGCCGTTATTTGGTTTTGAACATGGACTGTAAGCCATAATCCTCAAAACTGTAACAAACAAAGATGTGGTATATGTCACTTTGCAAATAATATGATATTGGTTTTATGTTGAATTACAAAAATAAATACAATTTTAAACAATAGTTCCAATTGTATGGCGAGGTGCAGAGAGGACTGGGCAGCAGTCGAAGGCGGAGACCTCGACGACCCAGTCCACACACCCAACATCTGGCTCTTGGGACGTGGAACGTCACCTCACTGGGGGGGAAGGAGCCCGAGCTTGTGGGGGAGGTTGAGCGATACCGACTAGAGATAGTCGGCCTCACCTCCACACACAGCTTGGGCTCTGGAACCCAACTCCTTGAGAGGGGTTGGACGCTCCACTTTTCTGGTGTTTCCCGCGGGGAGAGGCGGCGAGCTGGGGTGGCCATACTCATTGCCCCCCATCTCAGCCGCCACGTGTTGGAGTTCTCCCCGGTGAATGAGAGGGTCGCGTCCCTCCGCCTCCGGGTGGGGGACAAGTCTCTCACTGTTGTGACGGCCTACGGGCCTAACGGTAGTGCAGAGTACCCGGCCTTCTTGGAGTCCTTGGGAGGGGTACTGGACAGTGCACCGCCCGGGGACTCCGTTATTCTCCTGGGGGACTTCAACGCCCATGTGGGAAATGCCAGTGACACTTGGAGAGGGGTGATCGGGAAGAACGGCCCCCCTGATCTGAACCCGAGCGGTGTTCAGTTGTTGGACTTCTGTGCCAGTCACGGCCTGTCCATCACGAACACCATGTTCGAGCACAAGGGTGTCCATCAGTGCACGTGGCACCAGGACACCCTAGGCCGGAGGTCGATGATCGACTTTGTAGTCGTATCATCTGACCTTCGGCCGCGTGTCTCGGACACTCGGGTGAAGAGAGGGGCGGAGCTGTCAACCGATCATCACCTGGTCGTGAGTTGGATCCGCTGGCAGGGCAGGAGGCCGGTCAGACCTGGCAGGCCCAAGCGTGTAGTGAGGGTTTGCTGGGAACGTCTTGCTGAGCCCCCTGTCAGACGGACTTTCAACTCACACCTCCGGGAGAGCTTCTCCCAGGTCCCGGCAGAGGAGGGGGACATCGAGTCCGAGTGGACCATGTTCTCTTCCTCTATCGCCAATGCGGCGGCTCGTAGCTGTGGTCGCAAGGTCTCTGGTGCTGGTCCCGGCGGCAATCCCCGAACCCGGTGGTGGACACCGGCAGTAAGGGATGCCGTCAGGCTGAAGAAGGAGTCCTATCGAGCAATGATGGTTCGTGGGACTCCTGAGGCAGCTGTCCAGTACCGGCAGGCCAAACGTGCCGCGGCCCGGGCTGTTGCAGAGGCAAAAACCCGGGACTGGGAGGAGTTCGGAAAGTCCATGGAGCATGACTATCGGTCGGCCTCGAAGAGGTTCTGGCAAACCGTCCGGCGCCTCAGGAGGGGGAAGCAGTTCTTTGCCAACACCGTGTATGGTGCGGGTGGAGGGCTGCTGACCTCGACTGGGGATATTGTCGGGCGGTGGAAGGAATACTTCGAGGTTCTCCTCAATCCCCCCGTCACGTCCTCCGTCCAGGAGGCAGAGGCTGAGGATGTTGGGGCGGATACTTCCATCTCCCTGGCCGAGGTCACCAAGGTGGTTGGCAGCCTCCATGGTGGCAAGGCGCCGGGAGTGGATGAGATCCGTCCTGACTATCTAAAGTCTCTGGATGTTGTAGGACTGTCTTGGCTGACACGTCTCTGCAACATCGCGTGGCGATCGGGGGCGGTGCCAATGGAGTGGCAGACCGGGGTGGTGGTCCCTCTCTACAAGAAGGGGGACCGGAGGGTGTGTTCCAATTATCGTGGGATCACACTTCTCAGCCTCCCCGGTAAGGTCTACTCCAAGGTACTGGAGAGGAGGCTACGTCCGATGGTCGAATCTCGGATTCAGGAGGAGCAGTGTGGTTTTCGTCCCGGTCGCAGAACACTGGACCAGCTCTATACTCTCCATCGGATACTCGAGGGTTCATGGGAGTTCGCCCAACCTGTCCACATGTGCTTTGTGGATTTGGAGAAGGCGTTCGACCGTGTTCCCCGGGGTGTCCTTTGGGGGGTCCTCCGGGAGTACGGGGTCCGGGGTCCTCTGCTGAGGGCTGTTCGGTCCCTGTATGACCGGAGCCAGAGCTGTGTTCGCATTGCCGGCAGTAAGTCAGACCTGTTCCCGGTGCATGTTGGCCTCCGACAGGGCTGCCCTTTGTCACCGGTTCTGTTCACTGTATTTATGGACAGAATCTCAAGGCGCAGCCAGGGGCCGGAGGGGGTCCGGTTCGGGAACCACAGGATTTCATCTCTACTTTTTGCGGATGATGTCGTCCTGCTGGCTCCAACAAACCAGGACCTGCAACATGCACTGGGACGGTTTGCAGCCGAGTGTGAAGCGGCTGGGATGAGAATCAGCACCTCCAAATCCGAGGCCATGGTGCTCGACCGGAAAAAGGTGCCTTGCCCTCTGCAGGTGGGTGGAGAGGTCCTTCCTCAAGTGGAGGAGTTCAAGTATCTCAGGGTCTTGTTCACGAGTGAGGGGAGGATGGAGCGTGAGATTGACAGGCGGATCGGTGCAGCGTGCGCAGTGATGCGGTCGCTGTATCGGACCGTTGTGGTAAAGAGGGAGCTGAGCCGAAAGGCAAAGCTCTCGATTTACCGGGCAATCTTCGTTCCCTCCCTCACCTACGGTCATGAGCTTTGGGTAATGACCTGGCATCTGTTCAGGATGCCTCCTGGACGCCTTCCTGGGGAGGTGTTCCGGGCACGTCCCACCGGGAGAAGGCCCCAGGGAAGACCCAGGACACGCTGGAGAGACTATGTCTCTCAGCTGGCCTGGGAACGCCTTGGGGTCCCCCCGGACAAGCTGGAGGAAGTGTGTGTGGATAGGGAAGTCTGGGCGTCTCTGCTTAGACTGCTGCCCCCGCGACCCGGCAACGGATAAAGCGGAAGAAAATGGAATGGAATGGAATGGAGTTCCAATTGTAGACAGAAGTGGCAGGGTTACATGTTTGTCACAGAAGTTCCTGATATTAGTGTGTATGGATCTAAAAACAACATGGTTTAAAGCTCCTAAAACCCCAAGCCAAGACTGGATTTGCATACAATACAACCAAACTTACCAACAAAGTCAAGAATGCATTTGGGCTTCTCTTTCCAGTGCACCCCAAGAAAGTAGACGGGTACCCCTGTGAGCATGATGACGAGCCCCACCCCACACACCACTGGCTCCGAGTACAGGCTGAAGCCCAAGAGCAGGGCCCAGAACAGCAGGTAACAGATGGGCACCAGCACAGACACCTGCCAAACAGCAGTCACCAGGGTTAAGCAGTACACGTTTCAATCTTAGACAAATCTCCTCCACAAACTTAATAAGTGGAAAAATCAGAAAAAATCAGATGAATGTACCAAAAATACTAATGTAAAGTTAGGTTAAGTTACAGTTTTTTCTGTAGTCTATGGGCCCCAGGCTGAAAGCTAATGGGTAAGCCAGGGCCATGACGCCGCTGTGGAGGCACCGGAAGGCAATACTGGATGAGGGATGTAGAGGTGTGACTGTGGATGAATGAATGTGTGATCAGGACGTCTTCCTGTAGTCAACCACCCTCGAGGAAATGGCTATAGATAGATTGATGTAGGGAAATGTGTCCTCTGGATTTGACCGATCCTGAATGTCACTAGGGCCTCTGTCAGTACATGTCAACACATGGCCCATCTCCAGATATTGAAGTTCTCTGTCAGGACCAGAACTGGAGGATTTTACCTATTGTACATGATTTAGTGATGGAGGAAACCGAAGCACACAGAGGAAACATACGCAGAAACGGAGATCATGAAAGCTCCACTCAGAAAGGGTCTAAGGTTGAGCTTTCAACAAACATTCTATACTTTTGGACCCCAACCAAATCTTATTTATTAATTAACCCCCACCTGTGTGTGTGTAATTTTATAATGAAGATTTGAACAAAAAGATTGATGACATCATAGAAGTTTTTGGTTAAACTTCACAAACTACCATAAACACATTAGATAATCATAGTTTTCACATGCACTTCTATTCCATGTTTAAAAAGTGTATTTTCTTTATCAACTTGTTTTGTTGAGCAATCTTATGCAAAGTCTTACCAAAGCCATATTTGTACTGTTATTCCCACTGGCCTCCACAGACTAGTGACACGTGTCCGTACCTGAATGGGCCGATAGAGGTAGGGCTTCTTCCAGCGGTAGTAGAGTAGGCCTGCAATGGTCACCCCGTACGACAGGTAGTTGATGAAGGACACATAGTTGATCAGGTTGTGTGTTTCGCCAATGCACAGGATCACAATAGTGGCAGCGCACTGAGAAGAAAAAACAAACAATTATAGATAAATAATGTATAAAATGATGGATGATAGTTTATTGTTTATAAGTGTATGCTGGGGAAAATACTGTATGTACAGTACTTATAATGTCTACTTCCCCCTAATTTTGTACTATGATAAATGCATGTATATTTGAGTAATCCTGTATTGTTCTGCATTTGAGTTTTTTGGTACACACAATGAAAAGTGCAGGTCTGGCGCCACCTATATGTGATAGCCTGATCTCAGAGGCTCAAGGGCAGCAATATGTAGATTAAAATTGTGGTAGGGAGGTCAGAGCAGAGTTAATGGACTTGTTATTTTTACTCCATCAAGTTGTAGTAGCTACAGAACATTTGTATGTCACTTTATCTACTCATTATCTTTCCCTATAACTTTACACTATATATAGATAGATAGAGATGTATTGATATATTGATATTAAGCATTTACAGCTAGCTAAGAAACATAGCAGCTACTTATATTGTATATTTGTGTGCTCTTACTACTGTCCTGAATGTGCGCAGCGACATATAAATTTCCCCAAAGTGGGACGAATAAAGGATCTCGTAAATAGAATGATGAATGAGAACAGGCATGGAAGCTAACGGTTAAGCTATTAAACACCTTGTCATGTTGTGACCAGTTAAAACAATCGTCTATCTGCTACATTACAACATAAAAACCTACCATGCAGACAAAATGTACTTTCTTTGTACATTGTTGCTGGTGCAGTTTATATACAGGTGAGCTTAATAGTCCAGAAAGTACGGTAACCATTTTACATCTTGGTTTTATGTTGCATTTGTTTTCCACTAACAAGCTTACTAAGGTTTGTAACACTTGCAACAGAGAAATAAATAATACAAAGCTCACATGGCTTAAAAAACACAGTACCATCATTCTTTGGTAGCTTGTAAAATGCAAAAGATTAAAGACCCTCCCCCTTCTTGTTTTCCTCCCTAAATGGATGCACGTAAGATACATACGCAGACCAGCAGGGCAGGAATGGGAGTGCATTTCTTGTAATGGATCATAGCTAAAAGACTGGGCAGGTGACCTTCTCTCGCTCCAGAAAAACACAACCTATAAAACATAGAACAGCATAGATTCAGGGAAAAACAGCTGTTATGGAAGTTTTAAGAGACCCAGTTTTGATTATTAAAACAAAAAGGCAAATATACAACTACATCTATCATCCATTGTTTCTTTTTCAAATGTTTTTACACAGGAGCAGAGAAAAGTGCAGTTCCAGACAGTGAAGCGTATGGGGTGCCGATTGTAAAAATTCTGTTAAAATTTTTTAGCTGAACATTTTTCTACATTTGGCTCACTTTCCTCACATTTAGCACATTTTCCTCACATTTAAGACATATCTATATCTAAATATTATATCTATATCTAAATGTTAAATGTTATATCTAAATATTATATCTATATCTAAATGTTATATCTATATCTAAATGTTAAATCTAAATGTTAAATCTAAATGTTAAATCTAAATGTTAAATCTAAATGTTAAATCTAAATGTTAAATCTAAATGTTATATCTATATCTAAATGTTATATCTATATCTAAATGTTATATCTATATCTAAATATTATATCTATATCTAAATGTTAAATGTTATATCTAAATATTATATCTATATCTAAATGTTATATCTATATCTAAATGTTAAATCTAAATGTTAAATCTAAATGTTAAATCTAAATGTTAAATCTAAATGTGTCGCCAAGTGTAAAGCTAAATATATAGAAACCACGCCCACTGCAGTGGCTTCAAATCCAGTGGGCCCGCCTTCCGTGCCGTGTGGTGAGAACCCTACAGGATTACACAGGAATCTCACGGGACTCCACGTGGCTTAGTTTACAGTGAATACACTCTGGCTCCAGCAAATAAGCAAGAATCTTCACAAAAATGCTAATTTTGTGCCGTGGCCAAGGACGATCGCGCCGGAGACCCAACATGCCTTGAGCCGTGACGTCGGTCCACGTGTATTCCTATGTTCAAAACACGCGGCACCGCCCCCACTCACCACACGGCACGGAAGGCGGGCCCTCTGGATTTGAAGCCACTGCAGTGGGCGTGGTTTCTATATATTTAGCTTTACACTTGGCGACACATTTAGATTTAACATTTAGATTTAACATTTAGATTTAACATTTAGATTTAACATTTAGATTTAACATTTAGATTTAACATTTAGATTTAACATTTAGATATAGATATAATATTTAGATATAACATTTAACATTTAGATATAGATATAATATTTAGATATAGATATAACATTTAGATATAGATATAACATTTAGATTTAACATTTAGATTTAACATTTAGATTTAACATTTAGATTTAACATTTAGATTTAACATTTAGATTTAACATTTAGATATAGATATAATATTTAGATATAACATTTAACATTTAGATATAGATATAATATTTAGATATAGATATGTCTTAAATGTGAGGAAAATGTGCTAAATGTGAGGAAAGTGAGCTAAATGTAGAAAAATGTTCAGCTAAAAAATTTTAACAGAATTTTTACAATCGGCACCCCATAGAAGCGAGGAGCACTGACCTGGATGATGTGAAGAGGTAACCGTTTATCCCTCCAAACGTAGACAGAGCCACAGAGATGGGCATGAGCACAGAGAACATCCCCAGCAGCTTCTCTCCAAACGTCTAGAGGAAAAGACATCAAAAAAAAAAAAGTATATATTACTTGTATTATATCAATATTACATACAGTGAAGTTTAGGTACAGAAGTTTTCAGTTAAAAATTCCGATCAGAGTATTATACAGCGGTCCCTCATTTATCTTATGGTTATGTTTGGGAAATAAAAGCAGGAATGCGGTGAAGGTGAAAACATAGAGCTGAGTTTTTCAAAGCTGTAGAACCCCTCACGCTGACGACACACTTTATACACTTTTCTAACCACCTGAAATCACGACTGCTGATGTGCAATCGCAGCCGTCAAAAGCCATGCATACACTGTAAAATACTGTTGTAGAGGGGAGCAGAACTGAGGGCTACAGAAAGACCGCAAAAGTCTTGAACGAATCACTGCGGTGCACACAAGCCACAAAAATCTTCTTCTGACTTTAAATGAATGTAACTGTCATGTTAAACTAGCAGTTATATGACCTTGTACATGATGTTGTTGAAGTAAACACATGGTGCACGAGAAGCACGCTGTAAAAGCATGCAAAAATGCAAACATGATGAAAAACGCTAAACAGCAAGACATCCAAGTTAGGTGAACCACGGAATAGCAAGGGGACCTGTGCACACTGAATATTTCAAACAATTATAGCATATAATATAAACACAGAAGTATTCAGCTCTTTGGTTGTTTCTTTATTGAGTAGAAAAGGATCAAATACAACCACGCATCATCTCCTGGCTATTTTGTGAAGTATCTGTATTCTGAATACAATTGATTAAAATAGTTTAAGTGCACTAAAACTGGCTAGTAGAGAATAGTAAAATATATAAAGTCAGTTTATGGCTTTGAACAGCACCTTCATTAATACAGTGAATTAAAGCTGGGGTCCCTAACTTTCAAACCAGTAACTAGTTATTCCAAAAAAATCCTTGGAATTACCTAGTTCCGAAAAAAAAAAAAAGGTCCCTATCCCTAGTTTTCACATGCAAGTATTGTTTGGCCTCTGTCACATCTTTGGATCAGCTTTTTCAGACAGATATGTGAAAAAGAGAGGACCACCCTCACTCAGCCAATCAGCTCCCAGCCCAAAGCATCAAATAGTGACTCCCAAGGGTCTTTCTTACAAGTATGCAACAGATGAAGACAGCATGTTGTGTTCTGATTCACTCCCATTATACTTTTACAATACGTTTTCTGTTGAGATAAACATGTATTATTTCTTATGCGGGGGGAGTTAGGTACCCCAGCTCTTTTTTTAATAGACAAAATCCAGCTCTTCTACTAATAAAAGAGTTTTCCAAAGTGAAGCGATAGAGGGATAGACAGGAAGTGTTTGGGGTCCGGGCGGTACTCACTACGGCCACTGCGTTGGAGGACAGCAGCTCTTCTGGAGTCATGGAGGAGAAGTAGGCGATGTTGGTGAGCGTGTACACAAAGGTCACCAATGGGATGGAGATGTAAATGGCACGAGGCAGGTTCCTGATCGCCACATGCACACACCACGCCACAAGCACACCAGAGAATAATGCATGAAAGTCACACAACATACAGCTTTACGATGCACTTGTATCATTGAGGTCCTGCACAGGGAGAGGGTCCGGATGGGGCTATAGGTAGACCTGCCACAATACTTTCTCGTTTCGGGTTAGTCTGTTGTTTGGGGTGGGTCAGTGTGGTTGTTTGTGTTGTTGTTGTTTTGTGCGATACTATTTTATGTTTGTGTCAGAGGGCCAAAATGAGGAAATGCAAGGAAATACACGGTTCACTAACTTATTATTTTGACTCACAATTATTGTCGAAATAGATTAGATAATGAGTTCCAACACGTAAGGTAGTGTTTTCCTCAGAGATCATTGTGTTATTTACCGTTAGCTTTGTCCAGAACGAGTCTGTCCAGTGAAAAAAGTCATCTATCAGCTTTGTTTTGCTCCGTCAGCTGTTGTTTAAGTGTTATATTACTGCTTCTGCTACAACAGACGTTTTAGGGCAGCAACTAACAACTATTTTCAATAAAACTTTTTTGTGTGAAGTGAAGCCGCAAGAAGACATTACGCAGAGTGGATATATTAGGAGTGGACTGACCAAATGCCAGTCCACTCCTGTGCCCCAAATATGTTTTGTCTTTTGGGTCGTAACAATTATCATAAGCGCGTGTATGTGCTGAAGCAACGAGTGTGCAGACAATCCTTTACAATGTATATGAAAAACTGCAACACAATTGAATTTCAGAAAACAAAACAAAAACAAAAAAACAGCAGCGATAAAGACGATGAAATGACAGGAGTTTGACAATAGTTTGAATATTGTAATTACCGTCTGGGATCCACCACTTCCTCTGTGACGTAGTTGAGGAAGTTCCATCCACTGAAAGCAAAGGAAGCCTGGAGAAAGGCCAACGCCATCTGTCCCACCGACAGAGTCTTGTCAAACGTGAAGGCCACCGTCGGGGTCAGGCTCTCGTAGTGTCCTGGAAGTCACAGACGACATCATGTCTAGAAGATCTGAGGACTTTTACAAATATGTCATGGCATATTGTACATGTTTGTAGTGGTAGGGGAAACCTGAGGGAACCTACTCAAGCATGAGGAGAATATGCAAATGACACACAGAAAGGCCAGTTTGCACAACCCGCTCCTCCGTGCTGCCCAAATAATAAACAAAAACAAAGAAAAACAAAATTGTAGTAACTATCAAGACTAAAGATAACTATAAAAACTTATTCAGCTACATCTTTACTTGTTTTTTCTCTAAAATGTATTTTACATGATAACTTCTTTTTTTGTGGAATAATTAAAAACAAATTACTACAGAGAGAATGGAAGTGTTTGAATGAATATGCTGTACTATATATACTATAATGTACCGTAACATATACCATTGACAAGCCAGATCCACAAGTACTTTAAACATTTTAGACAAAGATGGGTCACATTCTTGCGAGAATTAATTCAGTAAGGTCACTATTTATCTGAAGTGAGGCAAGGTAAGTTTATTTGTAAAGCACAGTGCATACGCTCAAAGTGATTGACAAAACAAGAAGAGAAACATTAATATCACACAAGGCGTTCAAATTTTAGATAATCACTTAAAAGGAGTGAAGAAATACAGGCCTTGAACTTGCGACTGACTTATTTGTGTAGGTTATTTTTCTTAGACAATGGCCTCTGTCCCTATTTGTCTGTATACTGGGGCCTCAAACCCTTTTTAGTTGTAAAATGCCATTTCCAGCAAGCAAACCAAATTATGGAGTAAAAGAAAGAAAAACTTAAAAGTCGTTTTTTGTTGAAATACATATCTCCCCTAATACAGGTAGTATAGCCATTATCTAACAAGGAGTTTCATAATTGCTTTTTCAAAATTCAACATATGTGCCAAATAATAGCTAGTTCTTGATTTCCCACACTGATAGGGGCCCCTGAACTGGTCCCATGTGATTGTAAGGCGCCATGTTTCTTCGCTCTGATGACTGACAACCATAAAGACAACGGCCTATGTAAGATACAAGAGCCAATCACTGACCGTGACAGATCTGCACGAGTCCCACCACGATGATGAGGCCCAGAGCAGCCAGTTTGCCCACAGTGAAGATGTCTTGGATCCTGGTGGCCATGCGGACGCTCCAGCAGTTCACCCACGTCAGCAGCACTGGACAAACACACACGTGATACGGTCAAGTGCACTGTTTTTGTGTGTGTGTTGTGGTAGTGGCACAGCTGCACAGTTTGGGAGGGAACATTACTTGACTCCAATCACCTCCTCTATGACATTATCCATCGTAAAATCAGGTTTGTGGCCAACGTTCTCATGGAAGAATCAGAGAGAATATTCATTTAGGAACAGTTTAACTACGGATGCTGTGGAAAGATAAATATGATTCATCCATGCAATATTTTTATTTCACGAATAATACTTTTTTCCCATTGACTCAACACAGTAAGTAAGTAAGTAATTTCAAAGACCAAGCTTAACCATGTTTTTAGAGTGTGATTTCCATTCACTCCAAACATAAGATAACAGAACATTTATTCGTCACACAGTTGGGAAATTTTGGTACTTGTTTTTAGTGGTAGACACCTGGAGGACCCCTATGCAGACACAGGGAGAACATGCAAACTCCCACACAGAAAGGCACCGTCGGAACATGGAATTGAACCCAGGAAATGTAATCGTTGCAAGATGCTGCCTTCCTCTCATGAGAAGAAAATGTTAACTTTTGCATACTTAATAATTTTTTTTGCGCCCTGTGAGTCACTATTTGACTCTTTGGGGTGAGAGCTGATTGGCTGAGTGAGTGTGGTCCTCTCTTGTTTCCCTTTCTGTCTGAAAAAGCTGGGCTAAAGATTTGTCAGAGGCCAAACATACATGCACGTAAAAATTTGAGAAAGAACCAGCCGGATTTAGAGCCAGGAACTTCTGTTGAAATGTAGGTACCCTAGCTTTAACTATATTATAGTTATATAAAAAGATATATTGAGTTCACATTCATTACATTTTGGATTTTGTGAGGCGGATTTTTTTTAAATACCAGAACGTATACATTTATATTTTGCCCTCACTCAGTAGCATTTCCACCTCTTCTGTTTGAACAATACTATCTGAAAGTAAATGTTCTATAATGGTCACATAGAAACGGTGAACATACAAATTCTTAGTCCCCGCTCACTTCTTCCAGCTCCCTCAGTGCTTCTCCACACAAGACTTGGTTCTCTCAAAGGCTGACCAAGACAATAGCATTTAGGGAACAAAATAACAGTAAGCCAGGCTCTGCTGAATACACCAGCTTTAAGGAGTTAAGTCAACTTCTGAATTCAAAACATCCGATTGCAAAACTTCACAACATCATGAATCACCCACAGAACAGCAGACACGAGCCCTGGAAATAAGGGAATATAAAAAAAATATAACATAAGAAAATGTAGGATGGAGAACCAAGTGGGCCCTGTGTGAATGTTCAGCTCGTCCGTCAATGTCAGCAGCTTTGGGCCGCCCGCTCTCTCGGTGGCCTCACTCTCCATCACAAAAGCCACGAAACAAACCACTTCCGCTGCGAAACGTGACATGGGACCCCATCTGTTATAGAAGGGGGGGCCGGCGGTGCTCACGGTAAGCAAAAAGCGCAACACAGGCTGAGTTATGGCACACTTGAGTCCCAGGGTTCTCCCGCCGAGCCGCTAAATCATGGAGCTGAAAGAGGCTGATGGATGAATGGGCGCCGGTGCAGGTACTTTCAGGAAAGACAGCGAGGCAATTAGGCAAAGGCCGAGCGCCCAAAAGCACCGGGACAATGCTGCTCGGCCTGCCATAAGACGCCACTCCCACCAGGACTTGAGTTTTACAGCAAAACAGCTTTGGACAAGGGGTCAACTGATTAACCGCACAAAATATTGACCATCATCAATATAGCAGTATCGGCCATAGACTGTATATAGACGGACAATGCTAACCCAGCAGCTCAATGAAGCCCCATATCAACATTTGAATGGATAAAGTTTTGCACCAACCCAAACTTCTGTGGCACGCTCACAATTTTGGGCTTTGAAAATCTGTGGTTTAGTGCTCACTATGGTCCTGGTGTTCAAATGTTGATATTGACTTTGGGTGGAGGGTGAAGTATCTAGATAAGAATTGACCAATCAGATGCCTTCGTCGCCAGAGAAACCCCAGACTGCCTTAGCTACCACCTTAGTAACACATCTGCCCCTAACCCTTTCGGAATAAAAATGCCCATGTTTGGAAATTGACTCCTTCTAGTTCATAGTAAGTAAGTCTTTTTGTATAGGACATTTTTATAGACCAAGGTCACCCAAATCGCTTTACAATGTTCAGAGTTTAGATATTGTTCCATTCTCTCCACACGGTGATGACGGAAGAGAGACGCCGAACACACTGCATCAAAGCTCCCAACCAACACATCACCACTCCATTCACTCACTCATTACATTCAGACCTTTTGAGCATGTTTTTAGTGGTAGGAGAAACCGGAGCACGCGGAGGAAACCTGTTCATGTTCAAATTTACAGATTTTCTACCTCAATGAAAAAAGGCCCGACCAGCCAACAAGTCGCAACAATGATGATACAACTAAACACAAACATATTTTAGTCTACTGTTGTAACCCAGTCCTACTCTCTGTATTTGTACCGAAACAAAACTAGATTATTCCTTTGTATTCAAAAGTTAATATTATTTTCTCTCTCATTGCATGCCAGCTCTATATGTTAGTTATTGGCCTACTTGACTACTTATCATCAGTAGCAGCCATGAAAAAATTGTTGAAATTTGAACACAATATTCGTATCTTTAGACTTCTAGTTGAAATCTACATTCTGGGTGTGTCTTTCCTGCAGCAGAGCAGAACAAGGGGCTGAAATCCTCTCATCCGCAGCAGTACCAGCGACTCTATGACAGTCTGTTTGAGCAAATTCTTTTAGTTAGTTAGGCTTTTGGCTTCAGTAATTTCTTTGCTCAGGGCATGCCTACAAGCCACTATTTTTGCCTGCCTCTCCATCAGATACTCACCTTCTCTCCTGGACCCCATCTGGTGCTTACCTGCTTCTCTGGACTCTCCCATTTTTCACAATAAATAATACCCATCTAATGTTGTGATGAAAAGAATACAAATCCTCTATTTCCTCATAATATTTCCACATTTAGGTAAACAGGAATAGTATGAGATATGTGACCAGTTCATGGAAATACGTTTCTTTATGGTTGAAGCCAACAAAGTCAATAGTGGATTCCTGGGGCCAGTTTCAAGACTCAACTCAAGACATTTTTTTTGTTAGATGCTGCAGGCTTCTGTACGTCTCCCCTTTATCAGAAAAAATTGAATCTATAATGAAAGTTCAGCCTTAATGCTTGGCCATCATCATCACTTTTAATAAACTTTTACTCGATGAGGAAAATGAACAGTGTTGGATTAGACGAAGAGAAATAAACACCCGATTCTTCCAAGTTTGGTCGTGACAAAACAACTCATTAGCGTCCATAAACAGGCACTTGAGAGCAGCCCGAGGCGTTTGGAGGTATTCAGCCCAGTCCTTTCTCTTTAACCGTCTCCTCACCCAGCTCCACTCTGTTCTGCGAGGACACCATGCATCTTTTACTACACAAGCTTTTGCACAGCCTTCAGACCACCGTTATGTAAATGTCCCACGTGACTACACTTCCTCCAAACGCTAATGCTTGTGATGGACCATTATATAAAGAGGGTCTGTGGAAACATTTCCCGATGGACTGAAGAGAGGAAAGATCTTAGTCAGACATAGTACCTACGACAAAAGTCCAATAACACATATTGTTTCGGAACAATTCCTCCACAACTTCAACAAACGGATCAGCAATATCTTTCTCCAATCACAGAGAAAATTGGTGGGATAGAACCTGTGGGACCTGTTTTTTATATGTCAATTGGTCAGGACACTCAGCATTCAACATTTCTGGACATTTATCATCTGCCCCTTATGGACCAATGTCTCTGTGTGTTCTTTATCGTTGCATTTCACTTCACTTCACTTTATTTCATGTCCCCAATAGGGCAATTTAATTAGTTTAATTCACAGCACAGGGACATGAAAAAAAACTAATAAAAACAAATTCTCCATAGATTCAGACTAAAAAGGTGCACACATACAGTCTCCCAGTAAAGTCAATGGCAGTTATAAATAACAGGATAAAAAAAAAGACAAAAACTGTCCCCCAAAAATTCAAATTGAAAAAATTCAACCCCTATTTTCTCTGTCTATGGTCCGAGTTTAGTGTAGAAATAGCTGCAGGTACGAAAGAGTGTTTATATCTATTACTCCGAACCATTGGAGTTCTGAGTCTGGAACCAGACAGCAGGTAACTCAACTCTTCATGAAGAGGATGAGCCTCATTACCCAGAATCCTCAGAGCCTTCCTTGTCACCTGACCAGTGAACAGTTCAGAGAGTGGAGTCTGAGGAGGTCCCAAAATCTTAGCACTCAGGTTTACTATCCTGCTGAGAGACTTTTTCCCTTTGACATTGAGGTTACCAGACCAACACATCATGGAAAATGTTAAAACTGAATCAACACAAGATTTGTAAAACAGTCTCATTATCGTCCTGTTTCCGGAGGCAGAACAGAAGCTGCTGCCCTTTCTTACACAGAACATCTGTGTTTTCAGTGAAGTTCAGTCTGTTGTCGATCCATGTCCCCAAATACTTGTAAGTTTTGACGAGCTCCACTCTTTGACCTTTGATCACTGTGGCTTGAGGTGAAGAGACTTTCCTCCAAAAATCCACACACATATCTTTAGTCTTAAGATACTTGTGTGGTACTGTTGATTTTTTGATCTGTGTTGGCAAATTCAACGGTTCTGTTAAGTCTTTGAGATAACTAATGTTGTTTATTTAGGGCTATACAAGAATTAATTGAATTGAATTGAATATAAAAATCAATAACAAATTAACTCCATGAGTAAAAATGTAGTTAAGACTACATTTAATGAATACATTGAAACAGTTCTAGTCACACTTGAAGAAGACATATTAAACATTGTTTGTCGCTATCAAAAACAATAATGGGACTATTTACTCATTTCATGTTTTAGAATGTGAAGCAATATAAGCAGAAAACATATGGAGAAAGAAGTATGAAGGGTAAAAAATGCTTTATGCCTGTAACTCCCTATGCTGCCACCAGCATCAGAACATCTCTATAAATAACACATCTGTTTTAGCATTCTCTTTGTTTTTCACTACTACTTCAATTCTGTCTGTGACGGAAGGTTAAGATTTCTCCAAATGCACCGATATCTGTAGATTTCAACTAGAAGTCTAAAGATATCACCGATTGGGTCTGTGCCGATCCAGGATCATTTGATTGATTGCTTACATCAGAACTCGATCTTTGCAAAACGTCAGTTGAAAGAGTTGACAACACAAAACACACAGACATGCACTCACTCAGACAAAACACAGGCCCAAAGCCCTCACTGACCCTACTCCTCTCCCCAACCCTTGAGTATATACTGTATAATATCTGCGATTGGTCAGCTTTGCCAGACATGACCTACTAAACCTACAAACGTATGTAAACTGTGTTGGAGGAATGGACTGAATGCAGAAAAGTTGATTTGAACATGAGCTAGGTGTAGCCATTTTTCTTATACGGGGATTTGTTCTGAGATTTGTTGCTAACATTGTAGTTTACCCTGCGTCAAATTTGGATTCACATAGACAAGATCAAAATACAAACACCAGGATCATTGAGAGTGCTAAGCCACTGATTTTTAAGACCAAAAAAGGTGAGTGTCACACAAACAGTTACTGAGCGGAGAGGACTTCACTTTTCAATGTCAAGTTAGTAGGAGCCAGAGAAAGTTAAAGCAAAACTTTGTCCATGAGCACTTCCCTATTGGGCTTCATCGAGCTTGGATATTTAGAAGTGTCTATCTATATACAGTCTATGGCGAGATGATAGTGCTGTCCAACCATATTTTCTCTATGGTACTCTCTTTGGTACTAAAGTCTACATCACCGTGCTGCATGTGTGGAGTGTGAACTTACAGAGGCAGGTGGCGGACAGCATGCGTGTGGCCATATACGGAGGGACACAGTCTGGGAAGACGGGCTGCAGGACGTAGCTGGAGAAAGTGAGGGCGATCACGGCTAAAGTGGTGGGATACATGATGAGCACAGCACTCCACAGCAGCAAAAACCTGGAGGAGGAGAGACGGAGTAATGATAGAGTGTTTTCACAGAAGACAATCAGACAGCGATCATAGACTGTAAATATTAACGGACAAAGTCACGGACAAAGTCACACCCATCTCCGCCGTTTCAAAATGGCCCGGGGTGGTATTGCAAGCACGTCATTTTGGCCAATTTTGAACCGGGACAAAAAACAACTTGCAAAAAACAATGATAATTCCTTTTACAAATTTGCACATTACAAAATATTGGATAGCACTTTTGCTACTCAGCAAGAAGGTCCTGGGTTCGAATGGAGTTTGCATGTTCTCCCTGTGTCTGCGTAGGTTTCATCCGGGTGCTCCGGTTTCCCCTACTACTAACAACATGTATAATAAGTCGGGCATGCCCCCCCTGCTCAGCGTCCTCGCTCCCATCTCTGTGTGGAGTGAGAGACAAATGTCCAAAAAAAAAACAATTGTAGAGAGCTTTTCACAGACCAGCTGACTCTGGTCTGTGAAAGTTAGTTAAAAATCACTCACTTACTGTTGAAACCATGTTCTAAACTACAATAGTTTCATTTTTATGTATTTTTTATCAGTACATATCTGAAAGAATATTTTGTTTACATACTGTACTTTGTTTTAACACAAAATATTAAGACAAGTCAAATGTTACAGACACAAATCTATGAAAAATCTATGAGTCCAAGTAGAATAACAAATCTTATTCTCTGGTATATTTACCCAGAAACTTGAAATAATCTCTAAAAAAAACCTGGTTGTAACAATTGTCGTGTAAAGTTTAGGAACAAATCTCACCCCATGAGTCCTCCAAAGATCTCAGTGACATAGGAATAGTCCCCTCCAGACTTGGGGATGGTGACTCCCAGCTCGGCGTAGCACAGAGAGCCCAGGGCAGCGATGCAGCCACCCAGCACCCACACTATCAACGCCATCCCCACGGAGCCAGAGTGCTCCAGGACGCCTTTAGGAGAGATGAAGATCCCAGAGCCAATGATGTTTCCTAATTCATATTGTGGCTTTGTGCAAAAGTAAGAGGCTTCAATTTCCTTAATTCATAACTACTGTCACCCCTGAAGCAGTCAGTTTAATCTTTCATCTGAAAAACAAACATTAGAACACAAGAAAACGCCCACTTTCCTCTCGTGCGCTTGGTGCGGCCTGTCAATTCAATCGAATGTGGGCAAAAACATATCTGCAATTGAAAGACGGTGTGTACAATCAGGCAGAGGCTGGTTAGCCAAATACAGACTTAACAATATGTAGGGTTTCTAATTTACCTCCCTAAAATGTGAGTACATAACCAAAGTTTGTCCTCCTCCCAAGACCGCTCACCTGCGGTTGGGGACCGAATTCACTGTCCGGACAAACAGCAGAGGGAGGGGCTCTCCCAGTACCTTCAACGAGTATTTCATCTCAGAGTACTTTCCGCAGAGTACTTTTCTCAGAGAACTCATCCCCAGTAGTACTCTCACTTTAACATCACAGTTCAATAAAGCTTGTCATCTAGAATCTCTAGTACTTACAAACAACCGTATGCTTGTTGACAATAAATAATTATTCCATGATCACTTTAAAACATACCAGAAAACTTTTGTTATTCCCTATTCCGTTCAGCATACTCCTCAGTTCACATCCACAACACACCACAACACACTCACAACACCCCGACGTTAGCAGTGGTCCATTTTTGTTAACTCATTCACTGCCCATGACGACAAAAGTCGTTTCAATTGTATAGTGACGCTCACTGCCCTCAGACGACTTAACGACTTTTTCGTGTTAATTACACGGTGCGAGGCTGCAGTAAGTGTCTGTCGCACACCTATGTTAATGAACCCGACAACACTGGAGATATTTAGTGCAAAGGTACCTGTAATGATAAATCACCACCATAGGATGCCAGTATTGCACCAAAGAAGGTCTAAGTCAGTGGAAGAAGGAGGGAGGAGTGTGGGGTCATTGGAGAGCGTTGCTGCTTAGCAGAGCGATGATAGCGTACTGTAGCATTGAGACGGATCAGTATCTAGTTTAGCGATAGTATAAGCCAAGAGTGATGGCAAAAAAGAAGGTAGTTATAAGCATATACACTGACTGCTTCAGGAGATTGACTCGCGGATCAGTGAGTGAGGTTCGAAGGGAGAGAGGGGAGTACCCCGTGGAGGGTCCGTATCTGCAGCTCATATTTGCGCGGAGCAAAGCCCCGACAGAGACACTCCTTCCGGCCTCTCGCCAGCGTATCACTGCTGTTGTTTTACTGATGCCTCGGATGTCGTTCTGAAAACCTGAATCATGATTTATCGACACGACTCACAAACTCTCACACGGCACTCACTCACTCACTCACAGAGGCACAGCAGACACTCACACTTCTCGCACACTGACACTCACACACACAGACACTCACCGCACAGAGCACTCCACTATCGCAAACACTGAAACTCTCTCACACAGACACATCGCGCGCACACTTGAATTCACACTCAGCCGAAATAACACACTCAAAATTCACTGGCTTCATTCTACTTTTATACATCTATAGTTTTTATTGATCTTTGTGTTGTTTTTGTGTTTGACTTTTGGTTGATGGTTTAGAAGAATGTTAAATTTTCTATCTGTGAATATATTGCCAACAATTTGCCGAGTCAGAAAAGTATTATTTCAGAGTCAAGTTTTTATATAATTTTGTAATGGAACAAGTGTGAAGATGTTTTGAGTTGTCCACTAAAGCAGTCAAAACAGCATCTTAAGTCTCTTTTCTGCTTGATATGTTCCTGTTTACATACAGCACGTTTCCCCGCTGTTTTCTTGCTCTACCCAGGTGTTATGGGTGAAAGTAATGCTTTGTTCTTGGCGAATACCTCAAGTACGGTAAGGAAGGTAGAAACAAAATCTGTTTTTTACAGAGTAAAGCAGGAAGGTGAAGTCTTTAATTTGGTGCCCTTGGTGTTTACATCGTCTAAAAAATTAATAATCCTGTGGCAGTCTTCAAATTTGGGGGTCAAATCACCTGAAATTGCTGGCAGAATGCACTTCTCAATCTGAAAATGCCTGGCAGTCAGTGAGCTTAAGGTCAAACGTAGTGTATTTGACAATGACGCACAAACATATAAATACCAGTACATATACAAACACAAACATTAACATACACAAGAGGCCCTAAATTTTAACTTTGTTTATATTTTTTCCATGTCCAATTACTATTGTCTCATGAGCTATTTTATAGTTGCAACTTTTCAGAGCCTGCAAACATCTAACTTTTGAGAGATTTTTCCTATAAGATCCCATTTCAAAGCTTTAGGTTTAAACCACGTGTCATTACTCGGGCTGTGTGCCACAAAACGTGTCCCTATATTTTTAATACCTCGTTTGTGTACTTAACAAAAACTCATGCACGTGCAATAAATGTTTTTTCCCTTTTTTTTTTTATAAGCCAGTTCGGATTTCCTTAAAAAATGTAAATTAGTTTCAAACTTTAATACTCACCCTTGTTTTAACGTTCATAGGGGAGAAAAGACCATTGTCCTATGTGTGTTGTTGTACTTGCACCAATCATGTCGCAGATAAACTCCCACAGTTATATCCAAAGACATAATTGTCCTAATTGGTTCTAATTTAGGCTATTTGGAAGAGAAACATGTCATAAAACGATTTAAAAAAAGTCCCTACATCTTTGTTTTCAACCATGTACAGTGTTGCGGTCTATGTGTTATCAGAAATGATCCAATTCACCTTTAGCCAAAAATTCAGAAAATGCTTTAATCAGTTTTCAAACTTTAATTGTCTGAACAAAACCATTTTTGTACTAAATGCAGCGTCCATTAATTGCTGCAGTTTCTCTTTCTAGCACCAGTTTCAACTGTGCATGTGACTGTTTGTAAATAAATTAACGAACCACGGTTCAAAAGGTTGAAAACACTGCTTTAATATCCTATTAACCAAGATCATGCAGTTTTAAAATCATAATTCAAACTTCTCCGCGTCTATTACTTTAATATACTGTTTCAATAATAGAAGCTCCTCTACCTTAAATAAACTGCTGTTCTAAATCTCCTTGTGTCTCATGCTAAAGCAAGATCCTAATATATTCTAACGATTGTTCCTGTAATTCTTCATGCACTAAATTTGGTGTTGATAACATACCTAGCTAAATGTGTAAATATGACTTAAATATGTCTCTCGTCGTTTGGTGCCCTGTCTGTATATTTACCTTGTGCTTCATTAGGCCACCACGTCCAAATGTCCGTTAATGTCTTTCTTTACTCATGGCGTCTCAATGTCTTTTGTCTCAAAGTGTCTCAATGTCTTTGTCTCCATGTCTTTTTCCTTCTTCTTAAACAATCACTTTCTTCTTCCTTCTTGCAATAATCACCTTCTTTCTTCTTTCAATCACTTTCTCATGTCTTTCTTTTCTCAGTGTGTGTCCCCTTCTTCTTCGTGTAGGTTTACACAACGTTTTTCTCCGTGCACATAATCTCCACTCGTTTTGTGCAAAATGTCTGGATCCTTCTCCTGAATGGAGGCCGGAGAGGTCTTCTCGAGAGTTCCTGTTTAGCTGCTGCAGCCGATGCTGCAGTCTTTGCTGCCCCCCTGTGGTGAAACGGGGGAGACCAGATGGTCCGTGTGATGCGCCCGATTGAGGTCTTGTGGCAGAAACGATTTTGGCCATTGAGACTGACAGAAGTTTTCTCGGAAAAAACAGACATACAAGAAGCTCAAACAAGTGTGTTGAATTACCATAAGATAACAAACCAATGATTAATTACAATTCAAAAGAAACCTATGATATAATTAATATTAAACATTTTAAAAACATTAAATTCTGAAAAAAAACCCCCAATTTTTTTTCCCTGCATTCAACTGCTATCCTAAGCCCTACTTTTTCCACAAGTATAATGCTCTCTAAGATCATTCTATCTTTTATATCACCAGATATGTAAGGGAAAAAAAAACGTGTCCAGCATAAAAAATAAAAATAAATAATGTCCTCTTTTAACTATACTCAAAGTTCTGCTGATCCTATGACTCCATGGGCTGTAACTTTATCGTGTGTTAATATAGATAATTTGCTACAAAAAATTCTTTCTTCAGGGGACGAGAGAGAAAGAAAGACAGAGAGAGAGAGAGAGAAGAGAGAGAGAGAGAGAGAGGAGGAAGGGGAGAGAGAGAGACGAACGAGGGAGGGAGGGGCCGGTGGCTTGTATGCCTCAAGCATTTTTCAGAGAGGGAGCCAGGAGGGAAAGGAGGGCTTGTGTGGGTTTCCAAACAAGAGTACATGTAACGACTGAAATACACCTATTCATGAACATCCCCTTTAAAATTTGCTAACATTTCCCTCGTTGTTTTATCGTGACAATGTTTTAATCAGTGGTGAGAGTTCTCTCACTCAACGACACTTTAAACATTTATTAAATACGTCCAGTAATGGAAAACATTACAATTTGCTAACCTGATTAATGTTGCGATAGTTACAGAAACAGGAAAAAAAAAGATTCTGCTGGAACCCTCGATACATTAATCAGTACGCAAATGTAATGTTTTTCCCATTACTGACGTATTTAAATAATTAAATCGTTTGACGGAGAGAACTCTCACCCACTGATAAAACATTGTCACGCCAATAAAAAACGAGGAAAATGTAGCAATGTTAAAGGGGATGTTCATGAATTGGGTGTATTTTCATCGTACATGTACACCCTCTGTTTGAGAAACCACACAGCCCCTCCTTCTCCCTCCTGGCTCCCTCTCTGAAAAATGCTTGAGGCATACAAGCCCACTCGCCCCTCCCCTCCTCGTTCTGTCCTCTCTCTCCCCCTTCCCCTCTCTCTCTCACTCTCTACTCTCTCTCTCCCATCTCATCTGTCTTTCTCATCTCTCTCGTGAAGAAAGAATTTTTGTATGTAAATTACATATAAACACACGATAAAGTTACTGACATGGAGTCATAGGATCACAGAACTTTGAGTTAGAATTACAAAGAGGCATTATTTATTTTTTATTTTT